GAACCTTTTTTTATCCTTTGAAAAACATGGCGCTACGTGTAAAAATGTAAATTACAATCCCCCCGAGTTCGAACGGAACGTATATATACCTACGACCCAGCGTCGTTTTTATAAACCTTTCCAGTCAGGTTTTTCGTGCCTCGACTCCAACCCCCTGACTGACGTCTTACTTTACGAGACATGGTAGGCAGGAGACAAATCCATTGATTTATATCCTCCGAGTAGCCGCCTGCCGCAGGTGCATCCTTTGAATCTTGAGAAGGACTCGGACGTAGATAAGAGGTAGATAAGTCAGCACGTCCGTAGAAATTTCTTAAGAAACGAATCCCTTCTTGCTTACTAGCAAATCAAAGACTCGAATTTAAAATAACAATTCTTCATATTCGAATAGACACAGCCGACAGACATTCGAATAGGCATAGACTTTTACGTCTTTACAGATCTCAATGCCATTCTCGTAATGCAAAACAATGCAATTCGTTATTGTACGATTTTTATATTGCAGTTTCAATTTTTGTTCCAGCGTGAATCTACCTTTGGTGCATTTTAGCTGTGTGCATCCGCCTCTTGCCACAATAAAGATGTATCTGTCAGAGTAGCCTGGTGCTGCAGCATCTCCGTCCATATCTTCAGTAATCTTTCTCCTCACTCTCAACCGTTTTCTACCCATCCTGATCCCAATCCCCATTCCCATTCCCATTCCTATTCTCATCCTTATGTTCAACCTCGTAGCCAACCACTGCGTAGCCCTGTGGTCCATGCCTCCTTCGTTCTTAGCAACTATTGGCCTCATCGAGTCTCCACTCTGCTCTGTTGCAACTTCTCTTGCATCACTGTAGTGAAGATTGGGATTGGGCGATATGAAAAGGATTGCAGACGATCGGAGAACAAAATTTAACAGTTTTCTAATCCCAAAAGTTGACTTTTATAATTAAAATATAGATTTTAATAATAAAGATGTCAATGATCATGGTCGAATTGGTATAGAATTTTTTAAATTTTATATTTATTATATTAAAAACTATATATATATAAATTAATATGAACAATAGTGATACATTTATTCAAAGATCAATTAGATTATTACAGATTTTATTAATAATTACACTTTATATAGTATATTGATTTTACGTATATTCAAATTACTGTGAAATGCTAAATTGTCAAATTTTCAGTGTACAACATTTATACCTATTCTCAAACAATTCCATTGGCAATGGGATTTCGAAACATTTTTTTTAAAACCTTTCTCAAGGATAAAAAAGAAGAACTTAGGTTTCTGTTATCTAATATATTACAGATACAGATGCAACGGCGCACCTGCCACCTTGTCCGCTCATATATCATATTCGTATGAGTGCGCACCCACCTTACTTTTCTTTTTTTTATCTACTCACATGAGATTTATAAAAAAAATTGAAAAAGGGACACAGGTAACTATTTCATGATAATTAAAATTTACGACTAGATATTTCGGCTCTCAAGATGCGAGTACCATTGGGATTGCTTTTCCCTGACCCGATATAAATTTTCCAGACTTACGTCGTTCCTTTTACCTGAAGTTAACTTAGCCCAAAATAGTTATCCTTTAAGTCAACCCACGTACCCAGGACGTTTAAGTAACATTCAAAAATATTTTCACTTCTCCTCCACCAAGAAACAACCATTGCACCTTTATAATATTCTAACAGTGTCCAAGGTTATATCAATTTTTCTCCTTATCATCTTCTAGCAAAATTTAATACCATACCAGGTACCGATAACAGTTTCTCTTTAAAGTTTACATAAAGACTGATTTCTCAATCCAAGAGTAAAAAAATAAAACTTATTATGCTCGTTCACGTTTCGTACAGCTTTTATACAAAATTCTAATGCATCTTCACAAAAGATCCCCGACACTCTAACCATGTACAATAGTTCGTTTCATAACAGCCAAAGGCCAAATCATTAAGGGACAAAATCTTCAGGTCCAACTACTTTCATCGGTAAGAATAGGAAGCGTCTCGACTAACTAGGACGTCTTTACAGCAACAAGTAGGTACAATAATAGGATAGATCCAACTTCTAAGAACAGGAAGTCCTCTCAAATAATCACATTATAAATTGCTTGTACGTTGCTACAAGTCAAAGAATTCTTACTGACTGCAGTCTCTGTCGCATCTTGAGCAATTTGTGTAAACACTTCCCCGAAGTAAAGAACGACCCAGAGTTTCTCGGTACAATCAATTAGATAGCTGATGACGACTCCTCGGAAGCTTGCCTCTGTAAACGATCTTTGGTCCAGCAGAATGAACGCGCGTCCATCTACACGTGTTTCCTGGACAAACCTTTTTACCGTTTATTTCGAAGCTTGTTTAAACTTAGACTTCAACGACGTAAGTTACAGACTTATATTGTCATTTAAATCGATTGTATCTAAAATTATTTTATATATTAAAAAAAGAAACGATTATCGAACCCATGGAATTTTTAACCTCAAAAAATTTCGAATCATTTTCATCCCGGATACAAATTGCTTTGGATATCACTTCTTCAGGATATTGTAACCGTATCCGTATCGAATTTAAGGAAAAGATATTTTTAGAATGTAGCCTATACAAATTGTCTACCTACTAGTACATTGTTGATATATATATATATATATATATATATATATATATATATATATATATATATATATATATATATATATATATATATATATATATATATATATATATATATATATATATATATATATATATATATATATATATATATATATATATATATATATATATATATATATATATATATGTGTGTGTGTGTGTATAGGTAGAACATACCATATATGGTGAACACGGTTCATGATGAACGTGGAGCATTCGAATTATTTTTCAGGGACTATTTAGCTGTGTGAAACTGTTTGTATATCTGGTTGCACTTACGTATGTTTGAGTACAGTACGTATACCTACATGCTTCGGAGTAGATATGAAACCGACCACGAGCCGCCATTACCGTCGCGATCCTCTCTTTTTCTCCGCTACGCCCGAGGCAGCATCTTAACAACTTAATTTCTGACGATAGAGAGAGAAGCCGCTCGGACCGTTCTTTTTTTTCTTCTTTTATTATCCTCTTTTTCATTGCCTTCGTATATCTTACCTCTTCCTTCATCTTGTTTCCTTTCCTTTCATCCTAGCTGTGTCTATCCTTTTCTCTTTTCTTTATCCATCTTGTTTCATCTAGACCAGAGTGCGCCTCTGGGTATTTCCTACGTCCTATCGGTTCGCCTCGAGATTTTCAGCCGATCCATGAGCACTGGTTTCAGATCATTCTAGGTACGTCGTGCTTGAGTAGTCAGGACATTTTTCTCTTCTTTACTTTTTCTTTAGTTTCTGCCTCACTTCCGTCAGAATCTTTTGTCTTGATCCAAGAATTTATTTTTGAATTCCCAAGAATCATTACGCGACCGTTTTAGAATTTTTGTGGAATCTTACTCTTCGTCATTTAGATATTTTCGAAACTCATGCAGGACTGTGATTCTTCGTATTTTTAATGCGATCAATTCGGTTGGAAAAAGTAATGCGAAGAATGATAATTGCTAAATAAAAATACGGATTGGCACAAGATGAGAAAGCAGAAGAGAAAAAAGGCCGGTCTTTGAAATCAGACAGAGGAGTCTCTCTTCGCCACCGTTGTACGTTCATCCACTCGCGTCCATCGGCGTCTGCAGCGAAAGGTGGGCATCGCGACGTCAAGCTCTTTAGGCTATTGCCGCCCTGGAAACCAGTTCCGAGATGTTTGGAGCGAGAGGACGTCTTGCCAGAGTAGGATCGCAGCTTGGAGGGAGAAAATGAAAGAAGATGAGAGAGAGGAGACGACTGGTCCAGCACGTCTTCATTAGTCCAGCATCCCGCTCGTGGCAGTGGCGTGGGCAGCCATAGTCGTGGTAGTGAAATTGTTGTTTTCATTATATTCCTGATCGGATCAGACGTGTCTAAAAATTTTTAGGTTTCCCACGTGTTCGTAACCAGTACTGAAGTTTGTAATAAAAAAATCCTACTAAAATATACGTGATAATTTCTTTTTATATTCAAGTTGATCTCTGCGTGCCGCATATACTTAGTCATGTCGTCAGCTGCTTGTATTAAGCTATGTGGTTTAGTGAAATTTCATAAATCTCAAGAAATCCTGGTATACCCAAGAAGCACGATGCTGAAGTCGTTAACGACCGTATACGCCATATATTAGCTTTTCGTGACGTTGTATATGGTTAGGCACACGCATTATAACTATACACGTATAGTTATAATGATTTGTGGCTACCGTCGGTCTCTTTGATCTTGGTCATCGCGAGGCGTTAGAACGCGCCGCCGCCTTCGAGTCCGGCTTCTCAATTTCTCTTACTCTCCTCCCTCTTCGTTTCTCAGCTTCCGTTCATCATCGTCCACGTTCCTACGGGCGTTCTATGTGCAAGATTTTTCGAAAAACTCTGATCCCAATATAGGCTAACGTAGAACTCTGTTACAAGGTGCTGGAACATGATTTTCAATGAAATCCTTTACTCGTCGCAACGGACTTGAGTGAATTGTTAAAATTTTAACGCTGTATTGTAAATTTGTCTTTTTTTCCAGTTTTCAGTAACGCTAAGGGATCTTTAATATTTACTTGGCGTATCGAACGAAAACTAATAATTGAGCAAAACGTTTAAACTTTTTACCTGTATTTTTTTTCGTTTCTTCATTCTTCCGCAGACAGCAAAGGGAATGTCTTTTGTAGATCCCGTCATCGTAGTAAGACGCTATAAGTTTTTTTTACTGAGGCCATTCTTACTGTCGCAAAGTCAATTCACTTTTTGCGGTAATCTTGGTTTAAGTCGGGAACGCTTCATGGAGACTTTTTTTCTGCTTGACGTGTCGACCACAGCCGCCACATTGAAGCGGTAATACAGCCAGTTGGAAGACATTGGGGATATGGTTTTTGGATTCATTTTGTCTGAGTAAATGAAGCGGATAATTGTTTGGGATACTATCAAGTAATGTATTTCTTTTTTGTGATTTACAAAGTCTTTTCATCAGGTGTTTCGATTTTGAAAAATGCTAATGCATCAGGTATTTAGAATTTATAAACAAGGTTTTGGAGTTTATTCCTTTTTTTAAATGAGCCTTCATGACGAATGATGTTATTATTACGGTATTTGAAAATTGTAAAATTTATAATTACCTGCAATTTTTTGTAATTATTTTCGAACGACCTCTTTTAATGCCTCATACATATTTAAATAACAAAAATGAACTTCTTATTCGGAGAAAGAACTTATTAATTTGGGGAAACTTTTTTATAAGCATTTTTCAGTACGATTTTTAGTTTATAAATAAATTTAATCGCTAGAAACACCTGATATAAACATATTGCACTTTCTTAATACAATATAATGTTATAATACAAACATGAGACCATAGTATCCCTACTCCAGCCATTAATCGTATACTCTTAAGGGCATTTATCACAAACGTTACGATTTGATGAAATTTATATGTCAGGTATTACAAATTGTAACAGAATTTCTATTACCTGAACCAGTCAAAGATAAAATTTGAATAACCTAATAATCTCTTGAACGATAGTACAATTCCTTATTTTGTACATATATTTCATTTTTTTTATACAATGCAATAAATTTAACAGCAATAAAATTAAGATATAATTTAATCACAGATTTTAATTATTCTATATTTTTCGGACCATTAATCGGGAGACTTAATAAAATCTTGCATCAAACGGCAATCAACGCAAATTAACGCAAGGTAAAGACCATTATTCCTCCAGTGGTGTCATCTTTTTTTGTCATAAAAAATGTACACCCATCGAGACACCACTAGAAGATTAATTATTAAACCAATCTCTGAAAATTAACAATTGCCAAGTATTGACTAGAAAATTAGGTTTCAAATAAACAATTTCATGAAAAAAGATGCTTGGATCAAGAAACTCAGCAGTCTCGCGCCAAGTACCGTAACGGCGGAGAGACCACCCGAGTTACTGTACAGCCGTAGACTCGCTGAAGCGACAAATAAAAAAAATTGTTTTCTCGAAGAAAATGCACTTTTATATAAATCTCGCAGTTCTCCAGTCGTAGAGAACCTTTGATTTATACAAAAAATCAAGTAAATCGAATCTGCTTAATCACGTGATATTCACACGGTACATCCACAGAGCATAAAGCGAATTTTTTATTCTGCAGAAAAATCGCATTTTGTTCGTCGAGCTACCGTTTACAATAAATTTTCAGCAAAGGCTACCTTCAGAGCAGTATGAAAGTAGCCTTTAGGCTGCATCGCTAATTCAACCCCCATCCTTGGAAATCACTGAGTGTATGTGTGAGCTAATATTAATGAAAAGATGAAAACATAAAATTTCGTAATCCTGATGATGAAACACCCTTAACGTTACACGATTAAAAATTCCCCATAATTATTGTCAACAGAATCATTCGTATATTAGCCTCTACATTTAATAAAAAGTCTTTAAATACTTAGTGCAAAGTTATTGTTGCGTGCGTTTACTTAGAATTGAATTCGCAATGCGTTTCTACCATGTGTCGTTCGCTGTCGCATAAACAATGGAAATCATAATCGCCAATCGTGCAATAGCAAAAATAAATACATTACATCTATACAAATATTATTTGACATACAATAACAAAAATTGTGCAGTTATTATTATACATTCTCATTAATCTTAGACAAGAATTATATACGACACAACACAACATTGATATGATATAGATAATATTTCCAGCATGTGTGCCTCATTGTACAGTGTACAATACCTTTTCAAGATTTTCGCAACCTACATGTAACTTTATTATCAGGGAATAAATTGATTATCTTAACGTCATTGGTCAAATTTTTTGATTGACACGTTAAATAGAACATGGCTTACCAGCAGCCATAGGTCCATGCCGTTCCAAAGATGCTTCTTTGTTTTACAGCAGTAAATAATGATATTTTTCATTTGATATTGAGTCCGTCATTAGGAGCTCATCATATTTTCAATATTCTAAACAGCGTCACTAGATAATAGATAAGATATATGATGCTGCCCAAGATCTCTAATAATATCATTTTCGATATTTTCTTCCTTTTCTATATTTCTTTAACGTCGTGAACAAACTTCAATTTGTTGTCATTGTTCTCAATGCACGTTCGTGCATAGTATAGATACATTGTATTACGTCTTGTTTAACTAGGACCTTTGAACATCCACACGCAGGTCCCTTTTGTCAACAAGTTTCGTTTTTTTTTTTTTTGGTGTTACGTCAATGTGCAGCAACAATAGTTTTGTACAGTAGCAAAATGCAGCCACAGCAGTCTCTTTTTTACATGTGTCTATAGCCTGCCGGACTACATTGTACACAACTGTTACTTACGTGATTTTGTAATTTGTCCTATTATTGTTGCTGCTATTGGTGCAGTATACTCGAAGCACTGGCACCTTTGTCAATTGTTGTTCTTTGTTTCTTTGTATGCTTGTTCGTCAACCCTTTGAAATTAAGTCTTCGCGGATACTCGATGTACAATTTTGTATTTACAGTTTCAACCAGATTTGAGTGGTATTAGTTATAAATAATTATAATCGTGGTAAAAGTAAAAAAAATTCATATTGGATCAACTATCGGGTAACAATTTTTGAAAAAACTTTTGTACTAATATCTTTGTTCTTATCACTTAAAATTCTTCGCATTATCTGTTTCCAAAAAAATATTACAAGCTCGTTCTGTTACGCACTGAACGTTTACTCCGAATTGGCAAGTACTTTTTATCTGAATCTTTAAGCTCGGAGGGAAAGACTTACAAAAATACATAGAAACATTCCATTTGAATAAATACATCAAAATGCATTGGGTCTTCGAATTGTTGTTGTGACGTTGCATGTATGCAAATCTGTCGCATATTATATACGATTATCTAAATGTTAACACTGAATTCGAGTTATCGATGAATGCAGCTATGCAACTCTGCTATTTGACAACAGCACAGAGAGGTTTAAGAAGAGGAAAAATCACCATGCAATTTCATGTTATAATTGATCCGGCAAATCCATGGTACGGCAGATCGTATATGACGATCAATCACGAAAAAGATAGGAATTAATCTTATAACAATTTATTCAGTATTAAGATTAGTTTTCTCTATTCGCTTTGTGCGTACCAATGCAGTTATACATACTATATTAACAAGCGTGCATAGAATTGTATATATGAACGAAATGTCTCTCGAGAACTTACGACGAGCAATACAGATGGCGCAGACATACAGCACGTACATTTGAACACGTTATTCGAGTATAACTCTATTTGTACGCAAAAAGCAAATAGTTGTTTGACAAAATTTTATAGCCCACTATTAACAAGATTTTCTGTTACGTCAATTTTACCGTATGAATTTCTTACTGACACATTTATACGTCAAACATTTATGTGTATACATGACGACGGATCAGTAATTTTTTTAAATTCTTAAATAGTCACGTGGTCATAATTTATACCAGTATCACGAAGCGACAATATTGAACAGCAATTTCTTAAACATCAAGCAATTCTTATTGTAGGATATTTCATAACTGTCAAATATATTTCTGCTTACTCCATTTTCAATGTATACCCTATTTGATTAATCCAGTTTTTCATTATTATTATGCAATGGCATCATCCTATTTTGTACAGGTTCCACCTACGTCTGTCATGTGCGTTTATGCACATGAATTCCCACCGCAATGCCCTTTACACTTAATTTAATTGATTTTAATTATGTACCATGTAAACAGTACTGCGGAAAAACTGTTATGGCCTGTAATCATAATTACGAACACGGCCAATGTACAGGGTTGTTCATTAATTAAGGTAACAGAATTACTAGTAATTTTTTGTTCTATTGGAGCCCAAACAATACAGAATCACTGTAATTCAGATTACCATTATTAATAAACAAGGCTGTACCTATAAGTAGTTACGTAAGTAATGACATCGATACGAAGACACAGTCACTTTAAACAGTAAATGGATTATCTGTAACACGTATAACAGCGACACAGTCGAAGTCGATGAGTTTTTTTTAATGAAGAAGTGGTTTTTCAAATGATATTAAGCATGCCCATAAAATCTTTCGGCGTTTCAGCTCGGTGGCACTCTCTATTTGTGTAGGTATATATATTATTTTGATCATTGTCTTTTCATTTCTTTTCCTCCCCCCTGCTTTTGTTTTTTTTATTATAAAATCCTAATATTATTCGTTCATTTGATATTTACCTAAGATGCTTTTGCTGAGCTTCGTATCTCTACCATATCACAGAAAGTACTGGCATCCTGTTATTTTTCACTAAATCATCAGTTTAGTAATTTCTAATGCCTGCATCCGGTACGTGCTCTAAACGTAGGATGCGTATTCCGAAAATACACACTTATACGAACTATACGATCACAATCATCATATAGCTGAATAATTATCTGTTTTAGGAATTATTTCTCACGATTTATCCTGGGATTATTTTATCATTGATCAATCATGCGAATTTTTATGATTAAAACAGTTTCACGAAACACTTGATTTTATATCGTATCACATAACTTATACTGTAACTTTTATACTGTAACATTTTATACTGTAACTTATGTCGTACATGGTTCTACCGTAAAATCATGATTGTATCTTTGGAATGAATAACTGGAATAGTAGCGCTGGAAATCTTTACACCAATATTCTACAAGATATAATTAGTCCTAATCATGACTCTGGTATGGTATTACAGACAAATTTGGAGCCATCTTCCGAATGATGGAGTTTGGTTACACCGGGTTTTTAGTTATAATTATTAATATATTGAATATATTGAATAATATAAAAAATAAAAATTTTACTTTGATCATAGAACATGGCCAAAGTTTTAATCTTTTAATAAATAAAAAAATAATAATTAAAAAATGAATCATGTGTAAGTTAGAACCCCGCACAAGTGACTCTAATACAATATTGTGCCCGTTAAACCTAAATGTTCCAGTTAATTAGCAAAAGGATCGAATCCACCACCTTGCACCACGTATGGATCACGCATATTTAGCGAATTGCATTGTCCTTACGAGTTAATCATCTTTTTTGCTTCCTCATAGAGGAAGCTGTGTTTTCATGCAAAAATTGTTTTCGAGATTTTTATGTCAGAATACTCAAAATGGTCTAAACTTCGAGAAAAGTGGTTTAGAAAAAATGTCCATGTGTGTGTGTGTGTGCGCGCGCGCGCAGGGCTTCGAAAATTCAATCGCCTCTTACTCAGTAACCGTTTGAGCGATCGGACCGAAATTTGACACGAAAGTAAAGTAGTTATCCCTCATTAGATATTGCGATTTTTAATGAAATATATGCAGCCATTCAGATATTATGTAATTTTGAATTTTTTGAAAAAAGGGCGTGGTGGCTCTAACTTTCGTAAAGGTTCGACGATTCAGCTAAATAGTTCTTCAAAACTGAAGATACGTTCAGTGTTGTTTGGTATTGAATTTCGACAAGATCGCCAAAGCGGTACAGATTTTACGTGATTTTGAAATTTTCAAAAAATTATCGTTATCGCATCAGCTTCCGCAAAATTTAAGAAAGTAAGCCAAAACTTTGTACACAATGAAAATATGATGCAACGGTATTTGTTACGGCGTTTCATAGCCGTGTATGACATGGCTTGTTTTTTGTAGGTTATACATTTTTTATTTTTTATTCCTGCAAGTACCAAAATTCAATTGTACATAACTCGCGAACTATAGAGGTGACAAATTATAAAACAGTGCTTCTTCAAATAAAAAAGTTGCAAAGTAGAACTACGCACATTCGTTCACAAAGCTTTCTCTATGAGGAAGCCAAAATTAATGAAAAAACTTGTACAGTGTGCTAATTTTCTAATAACTTCTATCATCATCAATTGTTGAAGATGTTGGTTTGATCCGATCAATAGATATATTTTTTATAAAGATTAAGGTACTGCATGTTCTGTACCCTAGGACTGTGACAGTAGCAACCGATAGTGTTATGCTGCGAAATTTATGAAAATTACTTAAACAGTAAAAAACTTGTACCACTTTTTCTAGGTTTTTTGTATAGGAACGTTAGTATCTCAATGAGATGTCAAATTCAAGAATTTGCAAATCCTTTTTCCTTCAAACTCTTGAGGAACGTGACAGCACGATGCATGCCAATTTTGGATCCGATAAAATAGAAGGATTGATTTTAGTTTCTCAAAATTCTCATGGATTGTAGATTTTAATGATGATGATTGCTAAGTCATCGATATTGGAAAATAAATAAAACGCTATCTAGGAGACTTTGAGTCATTAAGTATAAGTCTGTTCGAATAGCATTTTGATGTTGAAGTTTACCACAGACATACCAGAGACATAAATTACCTACTATTGATAAACGGATAATATTTTTTTTTCATTCTTTTTTGTTTTTTCCACTAATTACGTACTAAATGATTGGTAATGTACACAGGAAAGAAGTACAGTAATGGTTACTAGTTTTGTCAACAATGAGTTCCACTTTCTAGCAAGGTATTCGTCATCAGCTAATCCAGCTGGAATTACCTTCGAGACAGATATGGTTACTGTCTTCTCAATAAGTTTTATTATTCCACGCTATTTGTCACTCATATTTCATACTCAGCTGGGATCTGCTGTTAATCAGATCAGTAACCAGTACTGGTATTCCTCCATGATACTTGGAACTTGAAGAAACACAGAGATCGGAGTGAATATTTAACACGTAGTATATTCTAATTTAATAATTTATAATGATATCCATTTCAGAACTACAAATTGTATGGAATACAATGAAATGCATGTTACGTATTGCAAGAATGACGTATGAATTTAAAATTGCATTGTATGCATTTGGATTTTCTTTAGTATTGTAACGTGGCGTTACAGAGCTGGAAGGGATACCACCTAGGAATGACCGAAAAATAAATACATAGGACTTATCAAGTCGGACAGTGATCTCGGTGGCTCAGTGGTAAGTGCCCGACTTGGCAGTCCGAAGGTATAGGGTTCGAATCCCGATCAGAACTCCTAGTTTTTCGGAAATTCCTAGCCCTCTAGCGCTCCCTGGCGGCTCTGTGGATAAATTAATTATATAATATATATTATATTTCTTTCTAGAAGATTTTTGTAATAATCCCTTAGAAATTTTCGAAAACAAATTTTAAGGGTTATCCTTTTGTTACTCGGCATATGGAACCCTGTGATATATGTACCTAGTTCATTGTGCTATTGCTATAGTGGACACACACTGTGATTTAGAATGTGTGGTCACGCGTTTCTTCTTTTGACTAAACAATTGTTAAAATTTCATAGCTTAGAAAAATATTTCGTAGCCCGTATTGTCGTGAAAATTGTATTTTAATTTTTGAAAATTAGTTTCGCGCACTTTGTTATACAGAAAGTAGGATTTGTATTAATGTTGATTTCTTAAGTTAAATTGAGCCACGTGGCTTCTGTCATTTTATTAGGAAATTCATATTTTTCTTTTCGGATAAGAAACAATTATCAAAAATAACGATGCAGTACTTATTTTCAGTTGAAGATAAACCATTATGTAGCATAAATATATAGTTCAAATTTTATATGCATTTCATTGATATTCCCTTTACTTTCCAGTTTTCTTATAAAAATACGACTTTATGGTACGAAGGCCTTAGTCCTAGGTGCTGTCGTAGTAACAAAACTACCATGCAGACAGATTTTAATGCTTATAGTAGTCACATAAAACACAGACTGGAGCTACAGGCCTACGAACATTAATAGCACAGCAAATAATGTTTGACTCGCTCTGAAAGATATTATCAAGTTGAGGTTTTTTGTTGAGAAACAAACGACTTGCAATTATAAAATTATCGGCCGAGCTTACGTCATTGAAAGCATTGTACGAAAATATTGTTGTCAATCAATCCATCTTATGACTAATTATTTAAATTTCAAGATATAACAGTGCATAATAAAATCATGTTGAAAATTTAATGCAATAATAACAGTTCTTTCGGTGAAGAACTATAATCCTTCTATCAGTATATAACGTAATTCTTGATATTCCCATTTCTGATATTTTCTCAATGATATTTTCTTTTTGATACTATTTTTTTAGACATATATCTTTTTTCGTATTATCTTGGACTATTTTATGCTACTTGCCACTGTCACGTTCCATAGAATAGGTTCCACGTTTAATTATACTTTCTCGTTAATTGAGGATAAATTTCCATATTTTATTAGGTCCAATTTCTGATACGTAAAGTGCCGTCCCATTGGGACAAACAGCAATTCCATGGGGTTTATTGAAGTACTGAAATACGCCAATGTAATTAATTAAATATCTAATTTTTTCTCATCCAAACATTATTTAATAAAACAAAATAACTTACTCCTGATACAGGACCCCAAGGTGTAATAATATTTTCGAATTTTGGGTTCAAAATGTATCCTCTGGCTGGAGTCATTGGAGAGCTCGGACCATCCACAGCATACAGATAATTAGCTAGAAAAATAAATATAAAGAACCCAAAATATATCATAGTAGAATATAAATACTAAAAATTATCAAAATAATACAAAGAAAAATCTATAAGGTTTTTCAAAATTGATATTTCTTCCAATTAAACTAAATACCACTTAAACCCCAGGATATTCAAATAAATGAAAACAGTAGTGTCCAATTCCAGGTTCGTTAAAAACTTAGGAAAAAAAATAATATAGCAAAAAATTAATAAAATTATCTTAAGTATACCTCCAGCATTGAATAAACCATTTGGGATACGAAGTCCCTAATCAGTTACATCGACAACGATAATTGCCAGTCTCGGATGAACTACGGTAATTGCGTTACCGATTTGTCGACTGCTAGGTAATTACTACAGCCGTGCGTATAATTGCACAACTGACACGCGATATAAATCATTATACTTATACGAATGATTTACATGCAGTTCGTTTACATTATCCATAAATATATTCATGCACTTGTACATAATATTACACATGAACATATACTTACCATACGACGCAATAGCATAGACTTTACCAAGGTCTGGACGTTGAATGGTACGAGGTGGTCGACGTTTTTCAACAGACCCATCCAGACCAACATCCAAGCAAATGACCCTCATATTCTCACGATCAGCAACGCAAACGTCTCTGTTCTCAGGCATAATAGCCAAAGAATGTGGAACTCGTAGCGCAACGAAATCTACGATTGAAATTGATCGAAAAAAAATAAATATTACGAATATTACTTATTCTCACAAAAATTACTAATCTCACCTCCTGGTCTTGGAATTACTTCACGTACTCCTCCCACAGAATTGAAAACCATTATTCGGCTGTTGCAATATCCATCGGCCACTACTATCTCACCAGTTGGCGCCACCGCCACTGAAGTTGGCTGACAAAAGTGGGAAAGATCTTCTCCCGGTTCAAATCTATGTCCCATTACCAATTTCGGAGTATTGGAACCCCGTTGAAACTGTACAATATGATCGATAAGATAAATGATAATAGGGGTATGGATGACTAATGAATTTGTTAATTATAAAGGTATGATTAATATTTTACTGTTAAAGAACGTTAGGTGAATTTTTGTTTTTCTTACTTTGAAAACTTGATGCAACGCTACGTCGGTCAACCATATATTACCACTGGTGTCGATATGGATGCCGTGAGGTAAATAAAACATGTCACTGCCCCAACCGTCCAGTATGTCACCGGTTTTTGGATCGAGAGTTAACACTGTATCCTGTAGGATTGGTCCTCGATGTTGATCTTGATATTCGAAATTGTCATTGAAAGTGCTAAAATGTCAATGAACGCTTATTAATTTTTTTGTTAAATAAATACAACAGATTCAAATTTGAATTTTTACACGCTTACTTGTAATCCCATATTCTGTCGCCTCGGTGAAAAACTACGGGATTTCCAATTGGATCCACGGAGATACCACTGATTTGGCCGAGATTTTCAGGCCCACGCCATTTGTAATTTTCCACGGGATAGGGTGGTAGATCATATTTTCCAAATGATTGTCTTCCCTAATTAATGACAAAAAATTAATAATTTCCACCCCTATAATTATCCTTATTGAAGACAGACGCGTAGAATCAATCCACACCGTTTTGAGTCATGGAAAATAAATACATCCGCCATTTGTAAGCGGATACGAAACATATGCTAACTCGATAACAGGTTGTACAGACTCGTTTATAAGCGCAACACGTAGTACCAGCTCTGTGTCACGGTAACGTATAATAACCCATATTTCAAAATCGACTTAATAACGATATACTCGTATGAGAAAATTTATTAAGCAATTTTGCTATCATGATACGCGACACCGTTGAACCAGTTAATAAATTTATATTAATCATCGAATAAATCTGGTGACGTTTGGATAAGTGAATATTATACGTGAATTATATGATTTGGCAAATACATACGTGTAGGAGATATCCAAAGGCGTTTTCGAAGTTGCTTCGAGGATGATTAAGTGAAATGCTGGCCCATCCATACTGTAAAATTACGAGGAGTACCGGAAGCAGGTTAAACAGCCGGAGAACTTGGTGCGCCATTGTCTTCTTCTGTTTTACCAGAATTTCTAACGCTCTTCGAGCTTCGATCAATATTACGCGCAAGCGCTTAGAATCCACCGTGTTAATACTTGTACGATATGATTTGGAAATAGGAAATGTACGTAGAAGATTAGGAAAAGAATTGATGAAAATATTAAGAAATTTGTATGTGGGTGTCTCGACGAATCTTGAATTTCGATATTTTTGCGATATTGATATTTAATATTGCTGGATTTATCAAGTAAGTTTGAAAATCGGCACTGAGTAGGATGAAATAGATATATGTGAAAATTTTCAAAATTAATTAATTTCTCTTGCACAATAATTATTTATGACAATCGTTAATTTTTCGATTGATTATTAAAATTTGAAACGGATTTTATTGATAATCGGTAATACCGATTTTAGGAAGACGAGTTTCTTCGGTTCTTGATTTCTTTATCGTTAATGACTCAGGATCATCGATTGTACGGTTTTTAACGATTACCGATACTTTCGAAGATTTTCAAAAAAAACTTTAACCATCTCAAAGTCGTTTGCATCGTGATCAAATTTTAAGTTTATTGAATATCAATGATGAATAAATGACTATCGATTTTTTTTTAACGATCAGCCGACGAGTGTCAAAATATAATTAAAAAAATAAAATTTAAAATTTTAAATATTTGTAAGACCAATAAAATATTTCGAAGTAACAATTTAATCTTTCGATGAATAATTGAAACTTAGACGAAATTCAAGGAAACGTAGAGTGGCAGTTGGCGAACGAGCTGCGCCATGGGTTGTTGGTAACCAACTGCACTTGGTCCAGGTCCTGCAGCAAGGACCTAGTGTAAGTATACAAGGTAGCTGAATCAATAAATTGGCGCAGGTGTCTTGATGAGACCACCCGGGCAAACTAAAAATAATTTTCAATAGAAATCATTAACAATTAAATCTATTTCGGTGACGGGATTCGATCACTTAGCTATTATAAAAGCATTTTTATTTATCTATAAGACAGCTAACCCCACTGATAAACCTTAATAAACGATACCAATGTGAATGCACCACGAGAAATATAATATCAAGCTAAGTACATATCCCCATCGATCTTACTATTCAGTACCAGCTGCATCTGGTCCACATCCGAAAGCGATCTCAAAGTGCCCTCGATGCGGGTAGATCAATAATGCTGCGCACGTTTGTTGCAAACTAGTCCCGGACAAGGTGCATAGGATAGGTGATTCGATATTACCTTGCTGATGACGTATTTCACCCAAATGGTTCCCGGATCTCAATATGATCTCTTCAGCGAGATAAATGCAGTTTCGTGTAAATGGGGGAGGGGAGGAGATGATATTGAATAAAGTTAGGTATATAGTAATTTTACGCCGTTATCCAGAATTCTAAAACAATCCAAGTAATTCCCACGAATGATCTCCATTTACCCAAGGCATATTCAATGATCATTAAAGTAAGGTTTTTCTGTTTGGTAATTGCTAAGGTAATTGCACGTATGATCGCGTGCAATTAGCGAACCATGGTCCAAGCCAGACGAACCCTCGCGGTCCTCATAATTTCCACCTGAGAAATCGTTCCTTTCGGTGTTTTATTGCGACTTAATTATACTGGTCCTGGCGAGACGGTTAAGGGTGGTCTGACTTCTTTTTTTTTTCAAACTTTTTCCTTTCTCAAAATTGCACAAAAAAAGGATCCCTGGAGCCCTCGAGCGAAGTACCGTTTCCCCCATGGACTTGTTCGTAACAGGCGGCGAGCATGGTCTCATGGGGTGCAGAATACAGGGTGCAACGAAAATTTCAAATCCTTCAAAGAAATAGGACCTGCGGGGTTTAAGGTGACAAATTTATTTTTGGTACCCGCTGACACACTTCCGTCTTTTGTGCATGTGGACAATTTTGAAAAGAAATATTGCTGAGGCAGATACCTTGTAGATGTCTATATAGCTGTCTTTACAGCTGTTTCTATTTTTTGTGTGGGTGAACCCAGTTCGACGATAATTAATCGACTTTGGGTCAAACGTCGAAACATAAATTGTTGTCAGAAAAACCCATGGATCCTGACCATATGTGTATATGAAATATGACTATTCAAATCAGGCAGAAAAATTCTTGGACCGAACAACAGTTAGAAATGACTTTTTCTAATTTAATAATTATGTCCATTTTTCAAATTAAATTACTTCATTACGATACACTGCATAAATATACTGTGTATAACATAAATTGTCATGATCGACATATATTATCTAGATAATCAATCTAGATATTCAAGATACTTAGATATGTCTGTACTTGCAATGTTATCTTAGAGAATGATTTTAATTACTGTTCATTAGTAAAAGAATAGGAAATAATATTTCAATAGAAATAGAGCATATGAGGTTAATCGATCTTTATTTTTGTATATGCAATATGCTACAACAATAAATAACAATGCACGTTAGTTATAGCCTTATGGTATAATATAGAATATTGTCACAAAAATGTTCATTCTCACTTGTCAACATTCATATCGTTAACAAGTGACTTATTAATGCTACAATTTAGAGCGCAAACTTCTCTTGGTCTACGAAGGCTTAAATTTTCTAATCGACCCCTAATTAAAAAAATTATTCCTTACTGATAGTCGTTGCATCACATATCGTTATACATATTATAATACTACGTCTTTTGATTCCAGCTGGGAGTACAGCGAAAATATTTATATTGAGTCTAACCCCGTGAAACGTAGCGCTAAAGGATTGTAAATATTCGTTAATTCGAACCGCCATAAGACGAACGTACTGCCAATCGATAAGCAGCAACAGTATAATCATTATATTAGAAAAGATACAAATCAAAAAATATAAAAGAGATATATGAGTAAAACGTGCCTAATTTCAGATATTAATGCAATAGCACTTTCGATGTTCGAAAATTCGATAATTTCTCAATTTTTACATAATTGTGTATGTGTACAGTATGATTATTACGATTCCTGTGTATTAATCTTGTAAATACATAACGGATTATACGTTCAGTACCTTATGAGATCATCATCAGTTTTTCATTAATGGAGTCGTTAAAGGTGCATTAACCAGGAAATACGGTAAATACAAATCCTGATAAAAACATTATATCATAACTCTGCAACCTGTGCCATTATAACGGTAATGAATTGTATTAAAACATACGAAGTATGGCAGCTTTCATATTATGTTGATATAATCGTAAATTAACGATTTAAATAAGCAATTGCGAATTCATCGAATTATGATCATTTGAAACTTGGAATAGAGTCAAGAGAATGTTAAAAGTTGTGCTGTGTATAAGTAATTCATTAAAAACTTTTTATTCTACATTCGCTCGACTAAGAGAAACAATTTCATTTCCTTTTTAAGAAACGAATAACGGTTAGGTGTTGAATCATTCTAAGAAGCTGATCAAAAACTTTAAGCTTGCATCGTGCGATGCAATTGTCACTGGCTATGCTCAGCAGAAACATGGCTGAGGCAGCAAACACATTTGATTGGTGAAATTTCACAGCTGTTGCAGGATTAACGATTAAATGACCAATCAAATGTATTTGCTTCCTCAGCGGTATTTCGGCTAATCACAGCCAATAATCTACCTTAATGCTATTCTTATAATTTTGATTAACAGTGGTTATAGTTTGGTTCCCATTTGTTTTCCCTACCATTTTTACATTTCAACGTGTAATATTATTCTTGAAATATTACAGAGATGATGTACCGACAAGCATATGGTGTTCCCTCAAGCATTATTTATCAATTTCTAATGTAAGAGATGTTTCCGGTTGTGTCCATATGTAACCAGTTCTGGTCATGCTGCAATGAGCATCATAATATCTTCCTGGCGCACGACAATAAGACCATCTTGGACATCGACAACGAAATTTACTGTGAAATTCTTCCTTGCACACCTCGTTCCACCAACAGGTCCTCTGATCAATCAGAATACATAACGTACAATAGCGTAATATAAATATAGATCATAACAAATTATATACATTGTTCATACCTCTGCAAGATATCCGCGTACACTTTGATCGCTGTAATTTCTCTTGGTAATAATGTGCCTAGCATTTGCTGAATAGACTCTGGTGCATATTGCTAAAAGCAGCAGCAGACACAATTTAGTTTTAATCTGAAAAAAAAGTAATAGTAAATAGCTGAGATAAAAATGTCAAAATTATTGAAGCGTTATCGTTATTGCTATGAATTTTGCTTAGTGTATGTAATACAATTTCTTCTGTATAAATCTCAAGTTTTTTCTCCTCTTTGATGGGGATGAGATTTGTATAGGAATATGCAACAGCTGTTAGCAACAGTTCGCACCGATCAATGAACGTGACGTAGACATTTCAATCAGTTTATTTCACGCTCTACCTTGCGCTATGGTACTCACATTATCGCCCATCACATTGGTCGTGTTGTAATGCATCGTACGTTTCAATAGTGTTTGTTGTAACGCCTTGGCTGGGGTATAGGCCACGAAATAATCAGCACATCAAAAGCATGGTTGCTACGTGATGAGATTCTGAACGGAAACTCTGAAGCGGGTGATAGGAGCATGCGTGTTGCAATGATTCAACCCTCATTGATGTTGTTTGAGGTAGGTCAGGGCATACAGAGAGTCCAAAGAGGATTGATTTTTTAGAGTAGAGAAAATGCTTCCTCATTATTTTTATGTTAACGTACGTTCGAGGCATACCTCAATGTGAAACAGTTTTATGGGGGATAAATATAGAATTCGTCGTAGAAAATGCAGAATATAAATAATATATCCATTTTTGAGACTTGTAAAACACTTTTTTGGGTACTAAAAAAAGATGTGTGAATGTAGACAGATTAGAATGAATCTAGTATCGAATCCCTAGAAGCATGCAATTCGATGAACAGGTTTACTAGCAAGAAATCTTCTTTCAGGCGTTAACGAGACGTTATGTAGACATCATTAATATAGGATTGAATTCATCCTTTGTCGATACGAGATATTATTTTAAAGGAGTGTTTATTAATATTTAGAAATTAATATTTTAGTTCTGTTATCGGAATTATTTCATCATATTCAAGTTTCATGAGCTAATGATTATTATACCTTACTAGGGCAATTCGTAGTACGCACATGCGTGGTCGGACTTGACAGGATCCGTGATCCGTGGGTAATTTCAGTGTCTTCGGATTTTAGACTGTTATAACATCTTGTTATTTATATTTTTCGAAAATGGGATCACGTATTTTGCTACGGCAATGTGTTAAAGAACTTAGAAATAACAATAAGCAATGGTAGGTTATCTTTATTAGATTCATGTCGTGATTTTATATTTTTTTTAATACAAATACATATAACCTAACTCAATCGTTTTATGTAACCAATGTACTTGTTTCTAAATTGAAATAAATGTTTAAATGACATAAACAGTTATCAAAGAAAAATGAAGTACTTTTTAGTAATTTACATGAAATTATTTCAGGATTGAAAGAGCTATTGCTACAAACGCCCAATGCAATACTAATAAATTAGTTGATATTAATAAAGCATTGGAAGTACCTGAAGCTGAACAGGAATCTACAGAAAAATTTCTCAATCCTATGGAATTTGATAGACAACAGCAATTAAAGAAATATATTGCTGTCTCATCTCAAGAAAATATTCCGATAGTAACTGGTATTCCGGAGGAGCATATTAAGACTCGTAGAGTACGTATTTATCAACCACCAAAGAATGCAATGCAGTCAGGTACAAATAATATACATAACTGGCAAATTGATTACGACACTCGTGAACGCTGGGAAAATCCTCTGATGGGATGGACTTCGAGGTAAGCTTTATATAATTGTTTTGAACTGTATACGATTACTGTAAATGGTATATTTATGTCATTTTGTCTACTTTAGTGGAGATCCTCTGTCCAATTTAAAAGTTGAGTTTGCTACAAAAGAAGAAGCTATTGCGCACTGCATTAAAATGCAGTATGAGTATGAAATTCAGAAACCAAATCGGTCTCAACCCAAGCCCCGTTCCTATGGTGAAAATTTTTCTTGGAACAAACGCACTCGAGTATCTACGAAGTAAAGCCAATATGGTAAGCAATATTTTTGCACTGTACAGTAGTCAATGGACGCATAATATTGAGGTCCAATAATTCTATCTGTATCATAATTAAATAAATGTAAAAATCTGGTAATCATATGTCTAATTACTCTTTATTCTGGGAATATCAAACAGTCAATAATATTGTAACTTTAGATATGGAACAAAAAATGTTGAACATTAAAAATAAAATTTGAAAAGCAAGAGGTGGTATTTATTACAGTGGGATATGCGAATAATATAATCCAGAGAATAGCAATAAACTCCATTATTTATTATTTAGGAATGATTATATAATAATTATATAATATAATAATATTATTATATTATTAATAAAACAAGCCAAAATGTCCTATACGGTTAAATCTAACCGATTTTTTCCCCATCGCTTGAAGTATCGTATTAAGATATCACTAATATAATAAAATATCTGACTAAATAACTACTCCGCATATAATATTGCTGATTCAATTGTGTCAGTTCTGAACCCGAGAGTATACAGAATGAAGATTGTCTCACAAACATTAATAACTATACAAAAGAAAAGTTGTTCCTTCATTGCACACACTGAGATTGACAACAATAAGTGAACAACTATACAGAATAATTCCTATGTTATCATAGAGATAGCACTAAAAAATAATTCAAGAAAATCTTTAAATTTCTCTAACATAAATACCACGTGATTTCCACTGCATAAAATTTCATTAAAATTTAACATTACTCTCAGGCCCAGACATAATTTACTCTCCATAAAGAGGCCCCAATAAGGGAATCGAAACTTCACGCAGATCACAGACGAACTCATTCGTGCATTCGTTCAGTAATAACAATGTCATCTCATATCAATTTAATAATGCTAATTGCAACAACAATACTGAATACCCAAAAAGCAGGAATAACGATGCTGTATCTTGGAGAAACAAAAATCACACTTCGACCCATTTGTATTTTTTTTTTAAATTTGATAAGACAAACCTTAAAGATAAAATGTATACAGCATAATCCAACAAATTATTTCAGAATGCACGGGTCTCCGTCCGTAAACCGTTTGAGTATTTGATATCACAAGCCAACAAGAATTAATGAAATATATATCTACACATGCTTGAGCTAAACGTACGCACATTTCATAGTATTTACAGCAGGACTAGGGGATGTGGTTTATTTGCCAATATGACAATTAAAAAGTTCGGTCGTAAAATCAAGTCAGAATTGTCATATAATTAATCATTCGTGCCTGCACTGTGCGTAAGTTTCTCCTTCACTTGCTTGTCGTCGCATTACACGCTTTTACAAATTTAGTATAACAAGTTTGCAGGCTTACAATTTTCAACTTTTCACCATCTGGCTCATCGTTATCGCTAGCTACAATGTATATCATATATGCATCATACGACATCTCTCTCTCGTCTTCGATAACTTATTACCTAAAATTGTTAATGGCTCTTTGCCTTTATGGCATTTATGCTCGGCTAGATAATCATTAAGTGTATTCATATATGAAAATCGAGAAATTTTCTATCTTGATTAATCTCGAGCTCTCTTATCCTGACTGCTCTTCCTTTATCTCCTCTCTCTTCTCTCCCTCTTTGTTATCTTTATCAGAACACCTTTTCTGCAGTTTTGCGAAATTTCATAACAGCTTCACTAACGACTGTACTCATACGTAACATTTGTTACTGTCTTATTGATCTTTCAGGAGTCACGGATGGTACGGAAAGTAACGTTACACCGATTTAATGGATAACAAGATTATTTGTATGGTCCATTAAAAACTCTTCAATCGGTGCATCGTCATGGAAATCTCTGCGGACTTTGAATTTGCTGGTAGCTTTATAATTTTTTTGAATAGATTGACATACGCGTATATGACGATAAGAGGAGTTTGAATCTGTTTCTTCTATTCGGTTCGGTCTTTTTTTCTTCTTTTTTCTTTATGCGTAACAAAAAGTTTTTTGATCGCTTAAGTTTTTACAGATCTAACAGGATGTATTCTCGCGGCTCTTACTTTACGCGGTATTATTGTTTACTTACGTATTATATATTTACTAATTTATTTATACTTATTGGTTAATTAACTATATTCATTATATCCTCAGTATTATCACCAAACTTGAGTCCCGCTCAGCACGGAGAGAATGCAGTATTAATTCTCACTTACTTCACCATCCCTATCCCCTTTTCAGGATCCTCACAAGCGAAGCACGTGCTCTCATTAATATTTTCTCCTGGCAACGGAATAATACATTGTTGTCAAATCTCAAGAAAACATATACACGTTATAACGTGCTTCGTCGCGAGGAGCTCACTAGAAACAATAATAAAACATTAAATGGCTACTTAAGTCAATTTAATAATTATTGAAGACATTAATTAACGCCACTTTCCTCTAAATGTTACATAGGCCTTTGATTGTAGAACTCGTTGTAGGGGGTGATCCAAAAAAAACGAAATCGCTCCACCAATTATGTGTCACGTATTATACAAGTATAGTCGCCGATATGAATGGACCTTTAGATTCGCAGAATTTTATCCGATTAATCGTTCGTCTCGCGTCTACTAATTTTCTCGTTACTCTCAGCTTCTTTCTTTTCTGATCCACCCGATACATTAGTCGTAATTTTATTTCTATTTTATATCTCGTGTGGTAAATATTGTCAATGCCATTCCTCTTACAAACAATGCAAGCGAATAAAAGGGAAGCGATCGGTAATTTAAAATACGAAGTCTATTCGATGCCGAATCAATATTTCAAGAGCAATCGCCGAACCAAATGGTGAATATCAGCTTGACCTATATATCAAGCAGTATTCTTCTTTTCATTTTTTCTTCAATATTAAAATATGGAAGCGAAATTCAAAACTTTATACATAAAGTGAAGGTCCCTTCAGAACATGTATATCTAGGTACAAGCTCTTGGATGATAATGTATTTGATCGTTCGAATGTTTGTTTTTTATGATGATCTCAAATCATCAAATTTAGATTGTAATTTTCTAATGACCGTGTATTATTCGATTTGAAATTTCAGCATTTTTTACTATTTCTTTTTACGTAATATATAAGTATTGGGTTTTTTTTTAAACATACAAATTTTTCGTACCATGAATATTTTGGCCTCTATCATTGACAATCAAGGAAAAACATATAATTAATTTTTCATATCTAACAAGTAAAACGGATAAATCGCATTCGATTGTGCTTGGCGTCATTGCCACACATTTTTGTGCATTTTCTCGTACACTTCTCCCGTATGAAACGCCAACAATGAAAATAAGAAAATTTTGCATAATTTTGTAAAACAATTTCGGCGTTGTCAGCCTGCTGAAATACGTATGCTCTAGTGATTCAGAGAAATCGCCTATGTCATAGAGACATATACGAAAGAGCTTGTGCGCGAACCAGAGAACGCGGTAAAGTCAAATTTAATACAATTAAAATTACTTTATTGGCTAAATTAGGTTTTTTCATGATTAAACAAAAAGCAAAAATCACCTAGCTACCATTTTTCACCATGCATTTAAATCTGTGCTAATTGCACCCGGAATTCATAAAAATTATAAAAAAAGGCGATTTTGAATTCTTGCAGTTTTCCGTTATATCGATACGAATTTACCGATTTTGTTTTTCACGATTTACATAGTCTGCATGGAAAATGAATATTACCAATAATTATAATTTTCGTTGATATGCTATGTTTATGCGTTCTATAATTTCTTTCTTTGCTAATTATATCCCTACCATTAGCATTACGTTTCCTATATTACAAATTACTTTCACTATGCACCTATAATTCATTGAAGCTCATTTTATTCTGCGTCTTCTCGCTTGGGAAAAATCATACCCTCCATCTCACCTTTAATCAATGAACTGTTTGTAAATGTGTCTCTATACTGTGAATAATGTTGCACTTTTTGTGGGCCGCGGGTATGCATTCTCGTTCCGACATTTTGATCAAACCCAAATACAGTGCTCCGCGTAATGCACTGGTTCGAGCAAGACGTTCAAACGAGAAGGTACTCCAATGGACCGCAAAATTGCCTATGGATATGGCGTGTCTTATTATTCCATTGTCTTTTTCTATTTTTTTGTACAAAAAGGATAACGCGATCGAGCACCGATTAAAATAATCTATTCGAATATTAGAGATCATCGAACCGTAGTGCTGAGAAGAATCGTGGATGATTTTAAGAAAAACTTTATTGGAAACTTTAATTGGGAAGTTTCATCGAACATCCGGTTTTTGAAATATTTATATTAAAAACTTAAAATGCCGGCTTAAAAATTGAAAAGCTGAAAAATTTTTTTTCTTTGAAAACTACATGTATTCTGTATATGTATTATTGATTATCAATTAATGGTCCATTGCTTATTGCATATATGATATTTAAGTGTGAACCGATAATATAATTATTTATGTAATTTAATTATGTCATGGAAAGTGAAGCTATTGTGCAATTATTTTTACTGCGTTTCAACGTCACCTAATGATCCCCAATACTCGCAAGGAAATACAAATGTATTTTTTTTTTAATATCTACATAGCAATAATGAAGTGTTAAACTTTTTTTCATTAATTAACTGAAGTTAATTGGTTCTTTTATTAAACCAATCGCAAGCGAGAGAGCATCGTGCAAAATTAACATATCGCAAAAACCAATTAATTGGTCTTGCAAGATATTAATTTCTTCTACGTAACATTGCCCTAGTGGTATTTCTAAGTCGCCGTTAGTGCGATAATTCATTATTGATTTACTCTTACCTTAGTCATAGATACGTGCACGCGTGCAGTTAATCGCGCTCACGCACGCGCTATCTCTTAATTACGATCTAAATGATCTACGACGGCGCCCTAGAAGCACCTTTTTTTCATGATTGTACAGTTTTTGAGACGCTCCCAGGAAATGGGTTGTACGCATGCCGTCGCTTCCCTTCGCATATAGACTTCGAGTATGTTTTATTTTACTTCTGTTTCTTCTTTTTAATAAGTTATCGTTAATTGACTTATACTTCATTCTATACGCCTCGCGAAAACCAGCTCCGCGAGAATTTCACCACTCTGAATTTTCTAAATATCTCACAATAAAATCACCTTGTGCTTTTCAACTGGTTCGAAAATCTTGCACACTCGATTGATCTGTCAAGAATTTTTGTCGATCGTGCACAGTACTTAATAGTAAGTACGATCATTGTAACGGTAATAGAAAGTATATAGGAAAAATTATTATTATAATTCAAAAATTTTTTTTTAACAATTCGAGGCACTATGACATTATTTAGAAACGATAAAAATAATGTTTTTAATGAATCAATAATTTTTTTGTCCTTTTCAAAACAGTCATTGATCTTATCGATCAATGTTACAATTTTGATACGGTGTTTGTCAGATTTAAGTTTTATGCTTTTTTTTTAACTTTTTTTCGGAATCATCTTTCAACTGATCCTTGCTGATCCAAATTTTTATACTCCATTTGAGTAACTCATGCGACGCAGGGATTTCACTATCCCTTGTATATAACGATCGGGTAACACGATTGATTAGAAAAAATTCGTTGTCCCGCATTGAAACGCAATTGTCGCGCATTCACGTAACCTACAACTATGCGAAATCTCCCGGAGCCAGCATATCGCGATTTCAACAGTCTGTCATCTAATCACAGCTACACCTACTTAACTGCGTATCTTAATAACGAAATGTCTAAATTTGTAACTTCGTGTCTTTAAGCGACGCCTTCCCTGTGCGAACTGCTCCCGAAAGAAGGTTGCGACATATCGTACATTTTACGCTTTTATTAGGAACAAAATATACGATTCCTAAATTATATGATATGTAGTCTATAGTCGACTAAAATTACCTGTGACAAAAAAGCAGTAAAACAAGCACCTATAGGATATCGATTTCGACATATTTTGGTAATAAAAAAAATCTAACTCTATCAGTATCTAAATATTTAATAATTCCTCTGAACCATGATTACGGTAATTCAAATTAGTGATCATAACTTTCATGAGTTTCATAATAAACCTTTTAATCCTTTGCAGGAAATATTATGACAATCATCAGTAATAAAAATGTCTTAGTATGAACTTATGTCATAGCAACCTTTTTTCAGGCGCTGCACGTATAATCTATACTACGGTTTTGAGGCAGTAATTTTTTTGCTAAAGATTTTTATAACACGTTCGAACAATCTTCGAATCAAAACTCGACTCGTTCTCCTTGGCAAATTTTGTAGGTAAGCCGTGTCATAATATACACACGCTGTGCTGATTCAATTTTTTTTCGAAAATTTAAGCAAACGGAATACTTGCTTCCCGTTCATAGGTCTCTTGATTCATTATGGATTTATAAATTTGGAAAGTTTATTTTAGTAAAGCGTGGAGCCAAAAATGATCGATCAATTTTTCTGCCGTCCAGATGATCCTGTAATTTGCCTTGGAGAAGCGGCGAACGTCGTTCTAGCTATAATGATTTAATAGTCTTCTTACTTATTCTAGCCAGTGTAAAATTTCTCTACACACTCGGATCAGCTATCATCCGGAGTTTCGCGATATTCCTCGCTTTCTCTGTGGACCAGGACATGGACGACTGTTGCCTCCGATTGTTGCCTCAGCAACGGGGGTCTTGTTGGTGGCGCAGTGCTTTCAGGACTGGGTTCTGTTACCAGAATACTGACGTCACTTCCATCTGCGATCGGAAGATTTACAGGTTCCGGGGGCTGTTGCCTTCTTCTTAGACTACCGCAACGACGAGTGAATGCATCCTTGATGTCGCGTTGTAGCATATTCAAGGATAGTGCCGTACCGCTAGGTCGTAAGGATCCTCTCTTGGAAGTTGGTGGACTTAGAACGTCATCCTCGTGATAGGTTTCCACAGCATCCTGACGGCCCAATGTCGGTCCTGATGATCTGTGAACAATTAATCCAAATGCATAGAACGTTGCGTGTCTTTTTCGTAAATCGGTACTTTAAATTCTAGGACTATGAACGTGAAAATTTCTATAAACATTTAGTATTCTCACTATATCCGTCTATATTAGTATATTAGGTTGTTATAGTATATAACTAGGAACTGAAAATTATTATAAGCGATATACGTGATAAAGCAGGTATTCTACATATCCCTAATGCTTTCTCTTTTAATTAAGTAGCAACTAGGTTTACACGATAAAGGAGTATTTTTACATGGGAAAGGACTAGTATATTCTATTTTAGCGCTAGTCTAATGTATTTCTAATCGTCTAACAAGTACAGTCCATCATTCTAAACGTATCGAGTAAATCATCTCGAAATATTTTCTCATATTCTCTTTACCTATTTATTTCTTTGCCCTCGAGTGTTTGAAATAAAAAAAATTGTATTAATCCACACGCATCACAGTACGAGCGATATGAGATGTTTATGGAAACCGATTGCATCGCACAGTCCACCCTATTGAATCCTACGTATCACTATAAGAATAGGATATTAGAAGGAAAAGTTTCTCACTAACTCATTGTACGTACAAGAAATCATAGTCGAATGATCAATGATCTCGACAGACCAAAGACCTTCCAAATGGTCCTGATGAAAGAAATTCTTAGTATCTTCTACCTACCTAACGGTAGCATGAGAGTCGGAACCGGAACTGGAAGCTGCCGAAGGTTGTTCCGTGGTTGGCGAGGGACGGGATACGGTGAGGGCGGGGGGTTGCAGGTCCTCGTGGGTTCCGGTGGCGCCGGAGAGCAGCAACAGCGGAAGGTTCGGGAAAAGCCACGCGGACGCGGTCCCGAGCTCGCTGAGGTCGCTGGCGTCGCTGGCCCTGGAGGACTTGCGGCTACTGGCCCGACTACCCCGATGCACGTGGAGAAGGGCCGACAGCTTTCCGCCCCATCCACCCCCGCCCTTACCTTCACTGCCTCCACCACCAGGACTGGAGGTTTGGGTTTGAGAATCAACTTCCTGGGCGATTCTTTCGCGCTCCTTCTTCATACTGTAATTAACGAAAAGATGATTTTGATGATTAACTCGTACTATTCACTGAAGTAAATATTAATCAGTGAACTGAGCTATTTGCGTACCTGATGTAATCTCTGAATGTGCGCTGAATCAATCTAGCTGCCTTGTCTTGCCGCTTCCATATCCTCGTGGATGAAACAATTTCGAGTTCCTTCCTAGTAGGGAACTGCTTCTTGAACTTGACGTCCATTTGTTCCTGCAACTTCCGGAAATCCTCGGATTCCTCCACGTGACCGAGGACGTGCTTGACAAGCGCGTGTAGGATGTCCAGACAGTGAATCTTATTGCCCTTTGCGATGGGAAGATTAAAGCTAACCAACGCTACCACGTTAGGCTTTGATATTCCCAGCGGCGGGTCTAGGCTCGCGATGAAATCGCTTAATTGGGAAAAACGGATAAATTGCGTTGCGTGCGGATCGTATCTGAAAACGTATACATATATTGTTATTTAGTAGATTATTGAAAAAAAAACAAGAATTTCATTTTCTCAAGGTAAATAATCCATCCACTTACTTTGACCAACGAATATAAAACATCTCTAGGTCATCCTCAACGATACCGATTTCCTCCTCTTGATGAGCTTGATTGAAGTTTTCCAGGATAATAGCGATGTACATATTGATGACTATCATATAGCTGATGATGATAAATGAGGTAAAGTACGTTATCGCAAGGAGGGGATATCCACAATCTCCGTTCATTTGCCTGCTAGTTGGCGTTGGATCACAATCAGGTGGCTGAACCATGAGTGACTCCAGGACGTCATTCCATCCAGCGGAAGTCATTAGCCGAAACAACAACTGCATGCTTCGTCCAAAAGTCTCAAAGTTTACCTACGTCAAGGTTAAAAAAAAACAGAAAAAAACGGTGGTAATAATTTCAAGATTATTTGATCTCAATCAGATGAGACTCATTAAATTTACCATATCGTCAAGTGCACCCTGCTTTCTCACGTGTCCAAAGACGGACATGCCGATGATAGCGTAGATAAACGTTATCAGCGCTAAAAGTGCTCCGATATTAAAGAGCGCAGGCAGACTGACCACCAGAGCAAATAGTAACTTCCGGATTCCTTTGGCAGCCTTTATCAGCCTCAAGATCCTACCGATTCTGAACACCCTCACGACCCGCAGGAGCGTCGGCGACACGGGAAAGTCCATCATAATATCCTCCATAAGGATACCCAGTATCGATGCTAGGACTAGGAGGAAGTCGAAGAGATTCCAGGGTACCGTAAAATAATGATAGCGAAGACCAATAATCTTCACGATTGCCTCAAGACCAAAGACCGTTGTGAAGAATGCATTGGAGACTTCCAAAACGAAGAAAATTGGGTGCGGCTGATTGTAGTGCTCGATTCCCATTGTTAGCATATTCAGAAATATCAAAACGAAGATTGCTATTTCGAATCTGAAAAGATCACGGATTCCAGTTAACTCGTGTACAGTAGAGTCATTCGTTATCAGTGATTTATTCTGCGGATTATCAGGCTGTGATCGTTATTATATAGTTACGTATACTGTAAAAGCGCGCAAAGAAATGATTATTAAACAAGCGTGTAAAGTGTTGCTGCAGCTGCTGCCGGGTATCATTTGTCATCTCCAGTCATTTAATCAGTTATGCCACGTCGCAGTTATCGTTACACCAAACAGGAATTGCGATAACTGCAATTTACTATACTTTACTGCAATGATTTGAGATGACAAACTCGCGTGGATCTTTTTCATCTTGATCGTACGTACTGGTGCAGATATCTTTGATCTTCATAATTACCTTCTCGAATTTGATAGGTCGTAGAACATTGCGAGAAATTGATTCATTGGCCGCTTGATGACTTTTTGCGGTTTTTTTCGACCGAGCTTTTTCATGGCAGTGTAGTAGTGCTTCTGACTTTCGGTCAGAAACATTTCTAGCACGCCACCTTCGTACTACGAGAAAAAGATAAAGACATGTGTTAAATAAAAAATTTTTGAAAAACAAGACAAAATTTTTCAGCTTTAAATAGATACCTTCTTTTTAAGCATGTTAAAGTTGTCTATGATAACTCCAATGAAGAGATTGAGGGTAAAGAAGGAACCGCATACGATGAATATTACGAAATAGAAATAGGCGTATAAATTGGCTTCGCGTTGGGGTTGCAAATCAACCCCTCGCGCATCAACTGCGTCCTTCATCACTTCCATCCAACCCTCAAAAGTTGCTACTTGAAATAATGCCAGATAAGCAATCCCAACGTGATCGAAAGTGATCTTGCTGTTCTCCCAGGAGTAGTTTTGATTGAAACAATCATCCTTAGTGTTCACTATCTGCAATTGCCGGTAGTTAAGTTCGTTTATAGAAAATTTTAAGGGTCTCCAAATTTTTATTAAATTCCAATGGTTACATTTTGTCCTTACCGATATATCTAACATCTCCCCGTACTCGTCTACGCATTTGAAGAATTTTCCGCCGAAGAATTGAACGCCCATTATGGAAAATATCAGCCAGAACACGAGACAGACGAGGAGCACGTTGAAAATACTAGGTATGGCGTACATCAACGCGTTCACTACGATCTGAGAAATGGGAAGAAAATTTATCATAACGTATCTTCGACAAATAGGGGGTTACAAGTGCTTGAAAGGAATTATTATTTAATAAGATTTAATAATATCATTAATATAATACCATACCCTCATGCCTTGCCATCTTGAAATCGCTCTCAATGGTCTTAATGCTCTGAGAGTCCTCAATGATCGTAATACCTTTAAGTTCTCATTTTCCTCTATCAACAGGCTAAACATGGATACCTGTTGAAATTTCTCGATTTTAGGAAAATCTCTATAATCTCCACGCTACGAGAGCATGCGTCCAGCATTGCATATTATGCATTGTAACATAAATCTAATGTAACTTGGAAGAACGTCGGAGATCTGCGCTTAATTTGATATTTCAGATTATGAAGTTTTTTTAGTATCAAATTTTTTTTCAAATGATATATTGAACGGAGGACATTGTTGATGTTAGAGGAAAAAAATATGATACGTGTTTTGCTATGAAATATTGTGTCATGGGAAAAAGTTGAAATTATTACATATGAATTCCCTTTAAAAGGCAGAAAATATTGTATGATCTTGTTGTACAATTTTGTATTATTTTTTAACAGATCTTCCGATGTCAATGATACGAAATGAATTGAAATGAAGATTTACACTGCAAATAAAGTTGTATCTAAACCATCGCATACACATAAATTCTAATGCACTTTAACTGCACTCGTACGTTAAGTGCAATAGCGATGCGATTATGATGAATGAATTAACGTACCTGGCTCCGTGAGGCGACACATAAACACAGAAAAAAAACACGAAAACAACATTCAAAGAGTTACCACACTTACAATGCCATATGTACGCTTAACTATAGGCGCCCTTAATCATTGTTAAGCATGAAATATATATATGTATAACGACTAGGAAAAACCATGCCACAGCGATATGCAATTTTGCATTTGTCATTAGCTTTTGCTAACTTTTTTTTCTTTTTTTTTTTGGATGTCGAGACGCTTTTACTTACGAAAACGATTATAAAATCCAGAATCGTCCAGAAACTGGTGAAGTATTTACAGAAGCCTAACGCCAGCCACTTCAGGAGCATCTCTATGCTGAACAAGGCGCAGAATCCCAGATTGGTCCAGTACAGGATCTTTTTCAAGAATGGATTATCGTCCAGGTAGATATCCTCGAAGCACAGCGTTATGGAAGATGCGAAAATCAAGACCAGAATCATCCATTCGAATGCTGGCGTATCCACTACGGACAACACTGCCGTTCTCACTTGTATCCATTTGCGACCGATGTCAGTAGCAACGCATTTATTAATACAGGAGCATCTGGTCAATTATTCAATTCGAAGTTAATCAACTATTTAACGAAAGGACAACAAGAAGCTATCTATGAAACGTAATATAATTATCTCTTGAGATCATAGTGATCGATCGTCGTACTCACTTTTGATAGCAATGTTGCGGAAAACAATCTTGCGGCACTTTCGGTGGTTTGCTTCTACCAAAACCAGGAAATGATCCCATACCGTCAATGTATCTACCTTTGCTGTCTCGTCTTCCGCCAACTGTCAATTCGTCAACGTAACTGACTAATGCATGCCATGGTCTTTTTTCTACATGCTCCTCATGTCGAACCTGTTCCTTTTCCGGTAGCATTGCTACTTCCTCGTCCGGTTTACTACTAGACTCCTTTAATACCTCTAATTCGATACTCTCTTCGGCTTTGGTATCGTTACTGTTATCCTTATCATTCAATTTTTTATTCTCTTTAGCAGTCTCTTGACTGCTCTGACTATAGGTCGTTACAGTGGCCTGACGGTATATCGGATCGTACGTGAATACAGGCTGATTCAAACTCTCCTGATAGGACCTATTATAAATATTGTCTTTGGGAAGGCTCAGCACGGTTTCCTGGATAGCATACTTTTCCTTGTCCGACTTATCCATGACTTCTCTCACGATTTGTTCGAGTTTCATATTTTTCTCGTTCTCCGAATTCTCCCTGTGATACTTTTTCTTGCGTACAATTGACCTGATCCGATCAAAGGATCTCGCGAGCTTCGACTCCTCGCCGACTTCTTCCTTTTTCTGCTTCAGTTCCTCAGAATTGAAGCTGTTGAGCAGCAAAGCCAAGAAGAGATTAAGGACCATGAAATTGCCCATGACTAATGCCGGTAGGAATATGGCAAAGCATGTTTCGGGCCCTTCATCCTTTTCGGCTCTCATACAATCCCAAAGTGGTTCTATCCATTCGCCGCACAAAATACGAAATATCATCATGAACGAATGGAAGAAGTCATTGAAGTTCCACCTGGGCACAGGATCCGGATAGAATTTATCCAACGTGTAGTCCTTACTGAAGAGCTGCATACCGATCACGGCGAATATATAGATCACGATCACCAGGACAAAAGTTAAATTTCCAAGCGCACCGATGGTTGAGATGATGATGCTAAGGAGCACCTTCATCGTCGTCCAAGACTGCGCCAGCTTGAGCACCCTCAGTAACCTGAGACCTCGTATTACCGAAAGGCCATCGACGAGCTCGAACGTTAAATCAATTAACGAGGCTGATACTATTATCAGGTCAAAGTTGTTCCAGCCATTGTTGAAGAAATCCTTACTGAGCGCCAATAGTTTAAGGAAGCACTCGAAGGTGAAGATACTCGTGAACACTTTATTTCCAATATTCAAAGCCTGACGTATATTCTCACTCATTCCGTGATGTTCCATAGCAAGGAAGCCAGTATTCAATACGATGCATAAAGTTATCGTCAACTCGAATAACGGATCCCTTACCACCTGTCATAGAAACAGCATTAAATTCAATAGAAATAATTTTAAAAAATTCCTTATTGATGCGTCAAGACGCTCGAAGCATCGAAAAATATTGATCATCACCTTATAAAGACAATTTTGAAATCGCAGCCAACCCTCGTAATCCACGCAGCACTGAATGCACTTGTCGCAATTTCTATCTGGAAGATCATCTGTAAAAGAGGAATGTGACGGGTCCATATAATTCAAAAAAATCTTGATCCTTCCTGATCTCTTTGAATCCTCGCAAAAACTATAGTCTTCCATAATAAATACACCAACCTAGAACTACAATGTGGGACAAGTATTCAGGAGGCAGGGCATACATGTGCTTTTTCGTTTTTACCCCATTACACTTGAGCACCCTGATCTCGCGATTGGTGCTCCTCACCGAAACGGTAACAGGTGCAGGCTGCTGTTCCGTTTTCGGAATATCTAATCTTCTTAGTTCGAAGGAGGATCTGAGTTCTTGTCTCTCTTGTCTCTCAGCCCTATGCTCTCTGTGCTCTCTCCTTTCGTGTTCCTCGGCCGAGGTTACGTCATCCCCATCATGATCATCCACCACCCCCGAATCATCCAATGACGATTGCTGGTTGCTATTGTTACTGGCCTGTCTCGAGTGCAACATTCCTCGATGCGGTGCTAATCTGTGCACTGTGTTGGGATCAGCTGGTTTTGGTGCGACAGCCTGCAGCGGAAGATGCGACGGCCGGACACTCGAGTGCCTTGGACTGGGACTCGGGCTCGGCGTCACCGATCTATAAATTAATGTTATTACGTAATAAACTGGGAAACGGACGAGAGCGTATTGGCCTAAGCAGAGAAGAGTACCTATCGAACGTAATGCAAGCTGCACTTACGGAGGCTTCTACTGAGAGCAAAACCCGAGTTAGCGCACTTTAAAACCGCATTAATATTAAATTTTGATAAATTATACCAACCATGACGAGGATACCTTTTTTTGAATAAACACGAGCAACTCCGAGGACTGATAAGAACATGACCAGTAATAAGGTGGTATTTGATTTTACTTCAACCGTTCTCAAGAATTGGACGCTCGAAAAAAAGAATCGTAAAAAAGTGCATCGATCGCTACCAGGTATTTATGTTTTAATACTTCAGCGACTAATACATATACCCGAACCCTGGTAAAAGTTAGCTGACGTAATTCTATTGTCGATTTTCAGATGGAACAATTACTGCGCCATGCAATTATTACGGTTGGAGTAATGGGAGCAATTATGGCTGAAGATGAAAAGGGGAATTACCTGCTGCGGGTGCCACCATTTTTCTCCTGGCCCGCGGAGCTCCTTCCGCGTTTTCTTCGACGTGCTTTTTTTCGCGTGTAGCTACTTAATAGTACACCCTTTCTGGCGTCTATCTTTTTCTGCTTCTCCTTGGTAAGTGTCTTGATGTTTATCTTCGACGGGTCGAAACTAAACGTCGAGTCCTCACGGTGGTCAGTCAAGTCCTTACGGCGCTCCTGTTTTGGACAAATATTCTCTTGATCTTATTACCACTATTCAATTCTCTTATAAATAGTGTCAATCAATCATAAATACGCCATCGCATGGAACTCATTTCAATATCCTTGTCTCATACGATTATCCTTACTGCTGAGGATACGATGGACCTCAAATGACTTATAGATTCACTATAGTCATAGTTGATGCATTTAACAGGATTGTCTCAAGCTGTAACTTCTAAAACTGTTGAGAAATTGACAGTGCACGATACAAATTATATTTGGGCATTGATATCAGACGATAATGAATTTTAATTAGCAAATTTATAAGGCATCGATCGAAAATTAAATAGTTGATGCAAAGTGATGCAAGCTATTTCAATTGAAATTTAATGTCTCGTATGAATCTTATTAGACCAGGAAACAAGTCAAAGGAAACGTAATTGGATTCCTGTGATATTTTTGAATCGTATACGGAATATGTAAAAAAACCGGCAAAAGAGACGTAGAGTGAAATAAGAATAATAACGTTAAGAAAATCAAGAAATCGTATCCTTCTAACAAGGAAACCCCCCCAACCCGACCTCACCGATTTCAATAATTTTTTGATATGTTGTAGTACTCGACAAAATAAGAGACACGTATTTTTTTTTTGTGCTGACATCCACTTTAAAGGGGTGAAAACGACCCCTGAAATTCACCCCCGAAAATCGTTTTTTCATCATATCTCGACTTCTAATTAATATTTTTTAATAAAACCAAGTGAAAATATTTGTCATAAGAAGTCGAAGATATGAGGTGTGTTTATGACCCAAGGGGTTGCAACCCTTATTTTATATTTTGAAACAACTATATTTTTTATGCTTTTTTTCTGCATAAAAACCGGGGTATGGGCTCAAAAAAATAAAGAAAAGCGTTTCCGTTAACTCCATCAAATATTTCAGTTGGGGTGTTTCAGGATTTTTCAAAGGGATAAAAACCACCACTAAATTTTACCCCCGAAAATTGTTTTTATCATATGTCAGATTCTAATTGATATTTTTTAATAAAACCAAGTGGAAAATATTTGTCATAAGAATTCGAAGATATGAGGTGTGTTTATGACCCAAGGGGTTGCAACCCTTATTTTATATTTTGAAAAAACTATATTTTTTATGCTTTTTTCTGCATAAAAAATAAGGGTTGCAACCCCTTGGGTCATAAACACACCTCATATCTTCGACTTCTTATGACAAATATTTTCCACCTGGTTTTATTAAAAAATATTAATTAGAAGTCGAGATATGATGAAAAAACGATTTTCGGGGGTGAATTTCAGGGGTCGTTTTCACCCCTTTAAAGTGGATGTCAGCACAAAAAAAAAATACGTGTCTCTTATTCTGTCGAGTACTACACATATCAAAAAATTATTGAAATTGGTGGGGTCGTGTTGGGGGGGGGTTCCTTGTAAGACTGATGTCTCCTTTTGTTTTCCGAACACGAGCAAATCTCCTTGTAAAGAAATCAGCACATGCTACTCCTACTATCCGTCAAAGTCAGCCACTACGTGATAACAACCAACCCCCGATTTCATCCCCCAAAATGCCAGTTTTCCCCAATGCAATATTATTCTTGCTGTTTGAGGCCACATAAGGGAATACAGCACACGAGATACAGATTTTACACTAGACAGATGTGTACGTCGACGAAATGAAAAAAAATATAAAAGAAGTAGAAATCTTATTCGTTTCAATGACCACGATGAATGCGGCGATAATTTGATTCCCTGGAAGTCTCAATTTTTGCCTTTTTTTTCAGGAAAAAGGAAGAATCTGAAAATCTTTGATGCACGGAGTGCATTTCATTTACCGGTATATCTACGAGCTTGCTGCAGTCCGCAATCCAGTGGACCGTATGCTATTTCTTCCACTCTAACGATAACATTCCCCAAGTGGAAGAAACGTGAGAAACTGTGGTGTGCAAAAATAATGCGAAACAACTTTCGAAGCTTGCAGTGTGCGATGTAGACTCCTTAAGCGTAACGGTGCTATTGGACTCACCTCGTTCGTAATTTCCGCTTCTTCCTCGTAGCTGAGCGCCACGACGGCGAGCATCAGGTTGATGAGATAAAACGATCCGAAAAAGACAACCACCGTGAAGAACGAGACGCTGATAGGTCCGCACGCCGACAACACCTGCTCGTTGAAAAATAATTTTTCAACATGATTAAGTGTTACCACGGAGTCATGAAGCTATATAGATTCAGAGCACAGAGAAGAACGCAATTCATTATTTAATTCAAGACTAGTCGCTGCGTCCAACTCATATGTAGAAACGTCGTCGTCGTAAAATGCGAGAAGTAAGAGAAAAGCAAGGCGAGATGGTGCTACAAAGTGATACATCGGCCAGAATAAAATTTTATAACTGTGAAAACGCACCTTGTTATAGACATCTTCCCAATAGTCGAGGGTAATGAGTTGAAAAGTTGTGAGCATGGACCACAAAAAATTGTCGAAATTGGTGTAACCATGATTGGGATTTGGGCCCACGCAAAGACAGGTATAACTCTCGTTGCAATGCCTGAAATTTAAATTCTTGTATACACATAAATCATCTCTGTCGTTTATTAATTTCGCTTTAATCTCTGATTCTCTAGATAAAATCGTCCGGCCCGATGGAACGTTTCATTTCAGGAGACTAATTCCCCTGATAATTTCAGCTGAATTTTCCTACCGTATACCCTGCATTGATATTGGTAGGTGCCAAAGTAAAGTGCTTGCATACCAAGTTACTTAACCGCCTTTGTATCAACGCCTTCATGCGTACGCGCCTTTGACTTTCATATACGCCCGTACAATTTGAGCTTTTGTATTCCCATTGCAAAAGCACAGCTATTTTACGACGCAGTGAACTCGGCGTATCCGAGTTTTATATTACCGAAGTCTGGATGCGACCGAAACTCGAAAGCTGACCAAATGGAAACAAGTCATTCTGTAGAGAAGAGCCAGTTGTGAATTCACCAACTGGAAGGACACAACTGGATATCACTCGAATTGCCCTTAATAGCTGTATCCCATAAAACACAGATATACGGTCTGCATCGACTGCATTGTTCCTTTTTCAGGCACGTTAGTGACTTGAGGTAGACACTTTGGACTCTTTTAATAAAACAGTTCGACAAAATGTAATCGCAGAGCAAGAAATAAAATCCAACGAGTTGTTTTCCATGTCAGCGCGTCTTCAAAGTTTATATAATACAGGGACAAAAAATCTAACCTGGCGCCGGTTACATTGCCGCAGATGATGGGCTCCTCGTCCTCGTTGAACGCCCAGTTGGACGAGTTCCAAGTCCACCTGTTGGTTGCAGAGAAGAAGTCTTTTAGGGTTTGGTATAAACTGTACAAGAGCCGAACGTTGTAGCAGCTTGAGAAGAGAATATCACAATAGAGAATTTCCTCATTTAATATTCTCTCGAAAATCGAATTCTTTCTGTATGCCAAGAAGATGCTGTGTCTAAGAAGGATTTTATACAATTCATCGTCAATACGATCGCTAAGAGCTTTTATCTAAAATTCTACTGGACACGACAAGCAGCAAAGCCTCCCCAAGTGCTAGGAATCCTTGCACACTGCGTTACCCGGTTACTGTTCTCACTACAGAAAAACTATTTTTAACTCATTACAGAACCTAAGTTATAAGGGTGCAGCTATATTCGAGATGCTCCTAGAGCTAGTAATGAAGATACCTAGAGGAATCAATCCGAGGTACCTTGGACCGAGCTGGGTAATGAGAATTTTACGACTTAATAAAAAAAGTTGATTAATGGCAAGTCCTATTATATAATGCAAAGTGGATAACGCTGATCGCGGTTCGGTCCTTAGGCAGTTCAAGTGTAGCCAACAAATAGAGAAGTGCTCGTGATTAATTGTCCGTGCTCGTTGAGTGCCATTTAGAAAAGGGATATTGCGTGACCAGCCCTACAGGACTCAAATATAGTGTTCAGTAACTTTTTTCTATGTACGTGGAAAAGTAGAGCGCGCCATCGGCGTAGACAAATCACGAAGCGGCCAAGTCGGTTGGTAACGGTTTCATAGACATTGGCGTACCTAATGCCAAATGGCCGTAGTAGTTGTAGCTGTCGCGAGAATCGATCAGTCGTGTCAACGTAGACCTAAAAGGAGGTCATCCAACTTCTTCCTTTCTGATTATTTCCGGATTTTACCTTTTGGGATGTAGGAAGCACAAAATATCCAAAAGGTTGGGACTGAAGAAAGTTGACGCTACGGTCTATTATTATGCTCGTCTATCTATTCGATGTCTGTCGGTAATGCCATGGTAAATGGTACAATTTTCGCGGACAAATTTGTCTTTGGGTTTACGAATAAGCATTAATTTCGCCATATCAAAAATTGAGACCTATGACGTCTGTATCAGATTTCATGAATTTTAATTCGTATCTCACAATCTAATCGTGTAGGTGGATATTGAAACTCGCCGAAGCTCATGTGTGGTTACTTTTTAATAAGTCTCAACTAGATCCGATAAGCAACGTTTAAAGGACATTTCACTACCGTTTAAAAACCGATTAATGCACGACTTAGCAAGAGACGTGAAAGATGGCCTGGAGTTCGCAGGGGATAATTTCCGATCCGATTAAGAGTACGCTGAGTTGAATTAATAGCATTCGTCGCTCTTAAATGTAGGATAATTCGTGTTTATAAACTGAAATCAGACTTTGGAAATTTTGCAGTAGTCGCTGAGCGAAGCTTTTCCAAAGATTTGTGAATTGATTTAACTGAAAGTATTTCATTCGGTTTCCTTAGATCTTATAATTGCTATTCCTCTGACCTAAACAACTGCTTCGAGTCCTACGATTGACTCCAGTTCAATACTAAGCTTGCACAACTTTGTTAAGCTTCTAAGAGAAGTTCAGCAAGCTTAAAGGATTCCTAGCGAGATTACACAGTTCGAAGTTGAAGCAATTCATTCAATATAAAACCCAAAGTTATTGGATTGATCAGTGATCAGAAGAATAATTCAGTAAATAATATAATTTTAATTCTCGCTTTTTTACACTGATAAATCTTAAAGCTTTATCAATATTTTTCAGTGTCTTATTTTCCCTTGCAAATATCTCAATTTTTAACTTAAAACACTGAAGATATCTATTCTATAAAAATTACGTACTCGTTCCAGTCGACCTGGGTGGCGTTTGGTTCTTGATGCTTTACGCACTTGTTCCTTAGTTCCCCCATGTAAACTTGCAGAGCGAAAAGAGCGAAGACCATCAAACAGAAAATCGTCAAGGTCATGACCTCAGCAAGTTGCTTGAAGCTGTGCAACAGTGCATTGATGATAGTTTTTAAACCTGCAACAATCAAGAAACGTATAAATGAAAAATTTCTGAAATCAACGCGTTTCAATTTTGCCAAATCCAAATTGAACTTTCAATTTTAAAACCATTCACATAGATATCCATAAAACTCGCCTATTCCGTAAGAGCATATATTTTTTAGCGATTATTCAACAATCTACCCTCAAACGGCCATATCTATTATACCTGATTCACCAACAGCAAAATGATGTTCCTATTGACCTACTAGTACAGTCCTGTGAGAAGACAAGTTCTCTATGTGACGTATTCAAAACGACTCGTTAGAAGGCATTCATTCGACATCGTTTAAGGCACTCTGAAGATCTGATCTCGAGAGGATTCCTGTCCGCCATTGTTTACAAGTGGTGCAGATCACCATACCAAGATGATATTGACTAGTGGATATCAATACAAACGCTATATGATCATCACGAGGCAATCACCAATCCATGTTTGGTTCTTCAGTTATAACCATGTATGTACAAGGTATGATTACATGTATCCACATATGTACTTGCGCATACTTATCTAACTGGTAGTACCACTCGTGTTTGAGTTATAACGTTTGACAGAGATGACGATCTACAAACGTAACCTTAGACTCGACAATTGACACTTCACACCAGCTTATCGATCCTGCTCAAGGACACTAGAAGGTATTCCACATTTCCTAGCATTCGAATAGGCACCTATATACTGTTATTATAACGAAGAACCATGACCTTACATAGAATCCAATACGGTCGTGTAATATAAATATACGCGCTTATCTATAACTACGTATAACAATGCGTTGCATGGAGAATTACCAAATTAATTAACTATTCGAACTGTATAGGTATTATTATCCAGACGCACTTTTCTCGAGGGCCAAGGATACCGTGCAAATTGATAGGAGGTCCATCTGTGAAAAGACTGGTGCATCTCACTTAAACCTATCGAATTTACAAGTGGCGCAAAGTGAGCGCGTTAATTATTGAGCCTGGGAAAGGTACGCGAGACGCGCCCAGGCCCCTTGAAAGTTTTACGGCTAAGTTCGGAAAGTCCGACATTATTCCGTAGCCGTGAAGTGCGGGTTCGCCTGCAACCTACCAGCTTGAAAGTTTCACGAGGAAAGCTCGCAGCCAAGAAAGCTGTAGTGGTTGTAAAGTATTCGAATGCTGTGGCTAAGTAAATCATCGCATGGGTTACGCAAATAGCCAAGGAAAAACACTAAAGATATATGAAGGTTACGCTGGCAAAAAATGATTTCTTGTATATAGGTATATACCTATGTCTTCATGAAAATTGCCTTGTGAGTCGAAATGATTTTCATACCAGTATACGCAATGTGTAACTATAGTATATATATATGTATATATTTATGTATAGAAGCAGCTGCTAATAATCTTGAATTAATTGAGAGCTCCCACCGGAACGCGACATACTCGACAATCACGGAGGTGTGTGCTTTATGGGCAAAGTTTTGCTGTAAAAATTAAAATACCGCCTTGAAATCGCGAAGTAGTCAAGCAGAAATGGGAAGTAAGGTGAAATGCTTGTGTATGGGGATTGCGGAAAAGGTTTTGGCGAAGGAACTTTGGAAAAGCTTAAAGGGCCTTGCGTGCTCTATCGCGTGTGCTAATATATTACTCGTTACTTGGAACGGCCTCTACTCGTCGACGTTATGCCACGTTCATACGTGCCTCTATTCCGGTTAATAGAAGAACCGTCGAAATGAGGAGTGAGGTTTTTGTGCTTCGGCCCGATATGAACTTTTTTATCAAATAAAACATAGACGCTGACAGTCCCAAATTATAAGAAATGTGCGAGCTTGTATGTTTTTCTTAATTAGGATTACGTCGTAGACGCCTTTTACACGTTAAAGATTATTTAAACTCTCGTTCTGGTAATTACTTGGTAAAACGACCAGGAAAAGGTCTTTTTTAATGTTTAGGAGAACCAAGCAGGTGGCGAGGATTCGCGTTCAATTTTAGTACTGGAAATATTTGATTTTTTTTAACAGGTAAATTTTCAGAATGTTTCGTACGATTTTCATAAATTTATTTTAAAGATTCGTGAGATCGTCAATGGTAAAGCAGTTTGGTATGAACGCAAACCAATTGTCGGATCCATAATTATACCCTCCTCAGTGATTCGTCGATACGTCCTATACAAATTAGACCTATCTGATATATTAATATGTATGAAGATTCGAGATAGAAATTTGTTGTGTAATTGTAGAGGAACTCGTATTACGACAAATACAGTGTAGATGCTTCAGTGTAATATCCCTATATAACTTCAATATTTCACGTATGGATACTCATCGAAGTACCATTCATATACATATGGTAATGGAATATGTAGGATCGTATCAAAATACAATTTCTCATATGACTGCGTCTCTCCTACCTCACTGACACCATGTACTACCTCACTTGATTATTATAGTTTGCAAGAATAATATATTTCTGGAAACAGTTTATTTGTGGAAAGTTCATCGCCGTACACTTCTTTTAACAAATTGAGTATCCAATTTTTATATTTTTATCAAATATTAATTTGATCGGTTTCCTATGATGTATATCAAGTTTGATGTCAAATATTACTAATGTTCGTTATAATTAATTTATCATATCCAGCGAATCCCTCGGGATTAGAAAGCAGCAGGGGAAATGGCCTATGGACGCCGGAGCTAATGGATTACTCGTTTCTTTCGAATTACCTCCTTAGAGAAAATTTGACTTTTTAATCAATCAATGATATACGCGAATAAGTTAATACCTATCGATATATAGTTATATTTATGTATATATCGAGAGAAAAAAGCTCATAGAAACTCGGAGATGAAAGTATTCGATTAAAGAAATTAAATGGCAGGGAGGAGTTTGGTGAACAGGAGTTAAAGTGCAAAGTGCTATAAATTAATCAACTGATCGAGAAGTGATTGTTATCGATTTATAAAATTCAATACTTTAACCACTTAATCTGGAATCACGTCTCCCAGACGTTTAGCTGTCTTCGGCCCACAATTTTTTTAGCGCGTTTTGGAACGTGTACATAGCCCACTGGCTTATGGTATAAAAATTCTTTGTCGCGAGACAGTTTGGGCCTGCGCGATTGTTGATTAAATTCCCGATTAAATTATTAATAGGAAACATTAATTACAAACTCACCTGGCATGATGGAAACTGTCTTGAGTGCTCTTAGCACTCGGAACGTTCTTAGACCAGCAAGATTTCCAACCTCCATTCCGATAGTCGCGTATCCACTTGTTATCACCACAAAGTCCAACCAATTCCATGGATTCCTCAGATACGTGTACTTGTTGAGAATGAATCCCTTAGCTATCGACTTTATCACCATTTCTGCCGTGTAGATGGCTAGGAAGATATATCTGTGAAACAAGAATTAAGACACATCGTGAAACAGGAAAGTGCATGGTTACGTATAAAATTAGCTTTCCGCTATACCTATAATTTACGTGGAACTTGAGCTACATTTTCATCGCGACGAAGTAGTTTTGTAAAAATATGTCGGTAACGTAGAAATTGATAGAAATAAAATTTTACTATTTTAAAAACAATAATGTAGTATTGTAGTTACTATGTAAAAATCATGAATGATATTAAACTCGAAAGGAATCCTTAATAAAATATTCGATTCATCCTACTAAACTGTTGGAATTAAAAAAAAAAATATGTAAAATTTATTTCCCGCTAGTTTCAAGGAATTAGATGAGATTCACTCGATATATTCATTGCGAGCGAAATACTCGCCGGCTTCGCGGCTTTTGACAGGTATCGAAATTCACTTTGTTCAGAGTCGAAATGGAGGCTCAGCTGATTAGTTCTCCGCTAGCTTTTTGTTTGAGTAACAAATGGTCGCACGGACAACGTGGGATTTTTGCCATTTAACGCCACACAAATGGACGTTATCCACAATGACTTTTGTCGACTATACTATCGATTCGTCACTCTTACTTATAAATAACTTCTACATATAACGCTATTTGAACACCTTGCTTCTCTGTATGATTTTCATGTTATTTAGGTACCAGTAGAAAAATTTAACTATGACCAATTTTCTGCAGAAGGCAAAAAAGCACAGTCATCCTACATGCATACATGGCAGCGTATAGTCAACAGAGTTTATTAATGGACATGCAGCTATATTTTCAGAATATTTCAAATTGTTAAAAGAATGCAATACATGTTTTTTCAATAACCGTGAATTTTATTGGATACATAACAGATACTCAAAATGTATTTTAACACTAGCCAAGCGAATGATCGAATTTTATTTATATAGGTGGATACAGATAGCTCGATTTAACTCCTGTATTTGTATTTCATTTTTACAGACTAAAATCGATCGATACGAATAATTGATTCTGATCCAAATTTAATATTCAATTCGAAAATTGAACGTGAAAGCAAAATTATATTAGATAGTTCAATTCGTGATATACCGAGAGACTCTACTACATGCGGTAGTGGTTTCTGCAAATCTAAAATATGAAATTCGTCACTTTTGCTGCAGCCGGGCAAGTTACAAATTGCAAATGTGTCGGATATACACATATAGCGAATATTTTATTACCGTATGTAGTACTATATCTATATATTTCATAGCGTAAGTCTGACCTACGTTCTTAATTCCGCGATTGCACGAGGCCAAATTCTAGACGAAATTGGCCTATGGCGTGATGGGAATTTCAAGCAGAATTTCAAAGATAAGCACACCGACCATAATCCGCGAACCATGTCGCCGCAATATGATTATCGGACTTTCATGCTCGAGCATTTTCATGAACCACTCCGTGCTGCTCGAATGTTTAGTCTATTCGAAAAAAAGAGGCATCCGAACAGGCTTGCATCGATAAAATAAAAGCGTGTACAAAAATTATATAGAAGTTTAAGAATTATATATTTTTTCATTTTTGTTTTCAAAAACAAAATTCACGACAATCAATTCGGCGTGCTGCTTGATTACCCATAGTTCGTGATGTACGTGCACGAGAATTTTCCTTTAAAAAATTTGCGTAACTAATTACGCCCAGTTAGGGGAACGAAATTAATATAAATCCCTATGCCAACCCTTAAGACTAATTAACTTGTGACTGTTATAATTATTCTTTAATATTTGACATTTTAATTTCTTTAGGCGTATCAAATCGTTACTTCTTACAATGTATTATTTAATTAAATCAACGTCATAGCTGAGTGCCAATATTATGCGAAAATGCAAAGGTTCCCATGAGACCAGCAGTTGGTCATTGTTATCATTGGCTATTGCCGTTGCGTTATTACTAACGGTAAACACGTTGGATAATCGTTCTGTACCAGCCCAAACCGACCGTTTTGAGTTAGCACGTCGCTTCCCGTTATATCTGGCTTAGTCTCATCCCTTATATACAGACGACAATGACGCCACCATTAATTTTAACGAACGGTGTGTGACACCCGTCGAACGTTCACCCAAATAGATGCTCATCCAAATTTCAACATTAAGTCAACCAGACATTAGATCGAGAGACTTCCCTATGTCTATCACTGTCACGTTACTCAGCATTATAGTCGTATATTTTTCCGCTGCTCCAAAGCATGACGTACAGGCGCCACTGGGAAAAATTTATAGAGAATTCCAACCCTCTTGAAAGTTCCTGACGCAATCGGATGTAAATTCCTTTGACGAGTACCGTTAAATTAATTTTTATTTCAAGCCTATAAAAATACTTTGTCTATGTAAACATTGATAATTCGGAATTGTTCAAAAGAAAATAGCCAAAATCTAAATGTAAATAATTCGTTTTTATGACCGTGAAGAATATCATGCAAGTAGAATAGGCACGTGTGCCTATTTAGATCGGACGAAATTTACGGTATCTATAAACATATGTATATACACGTATATATGTATACTAAATTCAAGCATCAGCGAACACGCGAACCTGTATTTGTGGAAACAGTCAGACGATGGAGTTGGATTTTCAGACTTAATAAAGGGCATCCAGTCAACGATAAACGTAAGGTTTACCCACAGGGACTTTATCGAAAGCTAAATCGGCCGCTTCACACGGTACTTGGATCAATCTGTAAGCGAAACCTCGAATGATGATAAGCATCGTCCGTCGGTGCTTTCACAGCCCGTTGTAAATTATCGACTGACCTCGTCTGGCGTCGTTAGTCGAATCAAATACCATTCCCGCTTTAAACTTCATCCATTGAATATTAGGATAATCGTAGGGCCGGACTTTGGCAAAGTTAACTGCTAGCTATAAAGTACATATCTATTTGATCTAAACCGACCGGGTTACTGGCAAAGTAGCTTGGGAGATATAAGAGGATGAAGACTCAGTCAGTACTAACTGTTCGCCGAAAGTTTATCGATTAGTCAACATTTGAAGAAAGCTGAATTTTTTACGTGGGGGTTAGAGTCTGAAAACATCAACCCTAGTCGATGGAAACAAACGGTAGGATTATCCTACTTAACTATACCAACCCCTATATTTTCATAGGGGCTCTAAGAGCCCGGGCTAGGAAACTGAAAGTGAATGCTATTTCAATTCGGAAAAAACAAACGCAAATTGATTCTTCTTTACTTGTTTGTTTAGCCGTATTTTAAATTTATACAATTTTCATTTTCTCTTTCGACGGGCGAAAGTTATTTTTGCATTTTCTTTTTAGCTTTCGGTATTCTTATTCTCTCTGCGTATGATTTTCACTAACGATTTCTCTTACCTATACTTTCTTAATATTCTTCACTTTTACTGCCTGTGATGACAGCGCTTCCTATGTCTATAAATCTATATTAAATTTATTAATTATTTCTTATCTCCGGATCTAATCCGTAAAATTGTAGTAAAGTGGCAAAATTCGATTACGTCACGAGAATAATAATTATAATCAATCATTTCACGTTCATTCTTTATTATGCGTTCGTATCGAGATGAGCAATTATTGCAAACACGGGATTTATAGATATAGATATATGTATAATACCTATCATCCTTCATGCGAATATTTTAAAGAAAAAATATAATTAATGCTCAATCTCATATAATACCCCAGTGAAAATATTAATATATCTCTAAACAGTCTCGTATAGGGGAAAAATGTTTGAGACGGCATAAATTTTCCCATATTATTCCCTATGCCCTCTCGCACACTTTTTCCCTATATCTCTTTGATCTCGTAGGGCGACTTGATCTGAATCATAATGAGACTTCAATCAGCCGAAAATCGATGGGAAGACTTGACTTGCATTAAATTGAGATCAAAAGTACTTGATCGAGATTAAAGCGATATCTACAAGACTGCTCTGAGATACCTCTGATATTTTAACATTTATTCCGATGCACACTCCTACAGATACACAGTACGTAGGCAGGTAGAGAACGCAGATGGTTCTTTACCGATCAATCAAGGCAGATACTCAATCGTTATATAAAATAGCTTCTATTAGAATTCGCCCAAAGAAATCAACGTACTCTGGATAGACTAAAATATTGATTAGAATCGTAAGTTGGTTCGAGTAGCAGGTGAAGTTCTCGTGAAATTCTCAAGGGATGACACGAAGTTCTTCATTGCATTTTTCGAAAGCGGCAACCTTGCGTAAAAAGTACTTAAGAGGGAAACTTATGTTCGGGGTAGCTTTTGTCAAGATTTCAATCTGTAGGATCCTCTTTGTACAAAGCGTTACAGGATCAGGTATTCACTGTAAATTCAAGTGGTTTATTCCCTATCCTTTCTATGGTAGTCACTTTTTACACATTTACAAGCGTGTTATTTTTACGTTGGAATATGTAGGAATCACAACACTTGTAAGTGTGTAAAAAGTGACTACCATAGAAAGGGTAGGTTATCACACACTTGAATTTGCAGTGTTATTATCACATCAGATAGCACCTTCCCCAAAAGGATCCTAGGGGATCCATTTCCACTAGATATCTCCCTATGATGGACCTATCAATTTACCCTAGATGCGCCGATTATCAAATCGATCTAGCTGTGGTACATATCGCGTGTTTTCAACATAAACCCTTGCAACCCTATCGAGACTATTGCTATCTGGGTCCATTTGCGATAAGAATTTTTTTTCCGAATATTTTTAAACTCTCGAACGTAAGTGTTTGAGTATATATACAGGGTGTCCCAGAATAAAAGGATATAGAGTACACCATCAAGTAGAAGAGGAAAATCTGAAACGAAAAGTTCTGATCCATTTTTTTTACCGAAATTTCTTCTTAAAGTTATAAATAACCAAGCTAGCGAATCAATACACAGGTGTACCTGCTGAATAAAATTAAAACGTGGTAAACGGGGGATAAAGGGATGCTTGGCGGGTACAGCTGTGCGTTGATTGGCTAGCTTTAATTTTTTATAACTTTGAGAGGAAATCTCGGTAAAAAAAATTGATCAGGACTTTTTGTTTCAGATTTTCCTCTTCTATTTTATGATGTTCTTCATATCTTTTTATTCTGAGACACCCTGTATACTTGGTATTTATTACCTATCCATACTGCATATATCTATCGTGTGTTTATATATTCATAGATTTATAGTATATGAAAAAATCAATACGTATAAATATTTCAAGCAATCTCAGAGCGCATGGTCTGATCTGCTAATGCGGGACCACCAACATCCGGCCGGAAGATCTTGCCGTTTTGATGATGATTTCAGAGATATCGGATACCGTTGAAAAAATGTTTTTTCTTTATTATGCTATCGAGGCATCAATTATTTAGTCGCAGTAGTTACAGCGGAAAATTTTCTTATATCATCTCGAGTTTTTAGTTTTACTGCCAATTCTTTTTGACTTTACACTTGATGACGTGTTGGATGAAGAACGTTTCGCTTCATTTTTCTTTTCGCTACGATCCTTTCTCTTCCCGGCTTCCTCTTCCTATATGGTACACTTTGTCCCAGAGTAATTCGGCCAAGTTTTGCGCCTCGTGTGCACCATTGTTACGAAGAGATTCGGACGCCGAAGCGCAGGGAAAAAGACCCTAAGAAAACTTTCCAAAGAGCATGTCAGGCTAAAGAAATTAAACTTTCCTGCGAATTTGTCGGCTGGGATTCAGCGTGATTTGCAGCAAAGTAAAAGTGGTCAAATAAAGGTATGTCACGCTTCATACGGAGTGACAAATATCCACGACTCACATATGTGATATATGAGTTCATATGTGATAAACAGAAAATCTGATACACGGCAGAAAAATATAACGTTGAACTTTGAGATTTTGCGAACTCTGATAAAAAGCTCAATTTTCCTTGCGTACTTTTTTCAAGAACGAGTAACATGTGTGACGAATTACCGACAGGTCTTATCTGCTCCATGGTAATTAATATTATCGATTGATCGCGCAAATATCGCTTTTCCCCCTCCATTCTCTGCCGTGCTGTATACCGTAGGAGATGTCCTGGCTCGTCCCTTTTGACTGACAACCGTCTAAAGAGACACGTGTGTCAATTCGACGAGTCAGGTATTTATTAGTTCATACCAAGGATATAATCTACATTATATTGAAATTTAATTTTTATCCGCGAATTGTATCCGATTACCAGGCAACAGGGCCGAGGAATTCACGGATTAAAAAGGAAAAGAATTAAACCAAAACTATTATCACATGTGAGCAACGTGCGCAGCGAATTCACAATTAAATTGACGACGCTGAATCACGAAGCCAGACTGTTAAGCCATCACTGACAACCGCCACGTTGGACCTTTTGACCTGAAGAATCCTGAATTGAGATAAGCTTTTAAATTATGTATATTATATAGACAAGTTCAACATGTAAAATATTCCGAAAGAATGAGTGTGAATGAATGAGAAGCGTTATAAATGTAAGAGCTTTGTCGTTTTGTTAAAAATCTCATAATTATCGTTGACTTATTGGTTATCTTGTTGACTATAATCAACTCAATAAATTAATTTGTTTCGAAGTTCAAAATACATATAAAAGAAATTCGTTACACATGTAAATTGTATTACGCGAATCCCATAACATCAGTTAGAAATTATGACTTTATTTTTCATTTTTCTTGAGAATCATGGACAAATAACAAGCTCAACTTTTGAAAATTCTCATATTATATCATTTAATACATACATGGACATCCGACAATTTTACCAAACTTTTTTTCCATTTCCAATGTTTTAACCATTTTCCTCACTAATTACCTTTGGCCAACCTTCGGGTTATCCTTTCAGGTATCATACACCATAACACTGAATACGTGGATTCTATTATATCATATTTACGTACTTGGGATATATAATCCCCGGCATATTTTTTCTTCGGTTTCATGCAATCAAAAACCAAAAATAAGTGTCGTTTTTAAATTTTACTAAAAAAAAGGAGAAAACAGATAAGAAACATTCATATGCACGACAAAAGTACATCTAACAAATAACTAGGCGCACAAATATATCTTGATGCTTGATCGTCGTTTTGAGTATATGTATATGAATACGTTAAATTACAGAAAAATAATTTATCTAGTATAACATATATTTCGTTATACGAATATATCCATGTTGCTACGTCATACATATATATTTGTCACTATTATTATTCCGGCGTGTAATCATCATTAAGTATAAATTGAATATACTAAAATAGTTTGCTAATCCTCCATCCTTTATTCCTCATTTTATATCCTGGAGATAAGACGTGATATGAGTCTTATGAGAAGTCAAGGTTCTTCTAATGGTTTATATGGAAATTACGTATATCATGTAATTCAAGGTGTTGCGATAGCATCGCTATGCCCTTCCAGCAATGAGGATGCTCACTTCGAAGACTTGCACGCAACCTCGATAACGTCTTCTGTACATATATGTATAATGCCTTGCGCACACCTGGACACTTTCTCAGAGCCCCTAAGAAAGTAGGATTGATAACGTTTTAATGGGATGGATATACATTTTTAAGAATATAACGTAACTTGAAAATAGCGGCACAGCTTAATCTGCCTGAACAGCGATAAGCTCTATCTACTGATTGAAATACAGTTGAACCCCGTGAACTGGCGTTTCTGGCAATGGCCTCCCGCAATGACCATTTCAAAACCTTTGAAGCTAGGACTGCTCCGTTCCGAATTTTAATACCCTGAGTCCCCATGTTAGTGCTGTATATTCTGTTAGTGCCTGAGGTCCGACTGTGTATATACAGGGTGTTCGTTAGGAAACGCACTGTAGTAACACTGTTACATTCCTTTTCAAATTCTAATGAATACGTGTATTTTCATTTTTTATTTCATACATCAAAATTTCGAGATAATCAAGGTTGAAGTTGCAGTAATGCGACCAATCAGAACGCGTTTAAACGGAGCGTAGATGACGTCGCGAGCTAGCCCGCGAGGCCTGCTTACACTAGGCCAATAACACTAAGAGTATCGTCTCTTGTATCTTACTCAATTACATGCAGATAAACAGGGACACAACGACGATACTCTTAGTGTTATTGGCCTAGTGTAAGCAGGCCTTGCGGACTAGCTCGCGACGTCATCTACGCTCCGTTTAAACGCGTTCTGATTGGTCGCATTACTGCAACTTCAACCTTGATTATCTCGAAATTTTGATGTATGAAATAAAAAATGAAAATACACGTATTCATTAGAATTTGAAAAGGAATGTAACAGTGTTACTACAGTGCGTTTCCTAACGAACACCCTGTATATACACAGTCGGACCTCAGGCACTAACAGAATATACAGCACTAACATGGGGACTCAGGGTATTAAAATTCGGAACGGAGCAGTCCTAGCTTCAAAGGTTTTGAAATGGTTGCACTATTCTATAAAATAATAGAACTATAGTATGTATCATATTAAATTTAAGATTTTTGCTCACTCGGCTTCTTCGACGGTTTCGGTCATGGCTAGGAAGACGCAATTAAGTAGAATGGTAGCCATGACCACATAGTCAAAGTACTGGTTTGTACTGAGGAAGATGCAACAGCGCCTTATGGGATTCCATGGAGAAAATATGAACCAGCTGTTAGTCGCAGTGAACCTGTGGATGTAGTTCTTGCGAGATCTCTTGGACACCACGCAGAACGTCTGAAACAGATAAATAGTACCGAGCAGTGAGTAAAATTTGAGTCTACCTCAGATATACATAAAACGGAAAATTTATATTTGACTTTTCAGTACCATCCGATTTCAATCAGATCGAATGCATTTCTACCTCAAGCTCTATTGCATATATCCATCCGCCATTGCATTCAGCAGTAACTGTACATATCGATATATCCTGACAGAAAGACGAAAGGAACTCGATTCCGTCGAAGAATATTCAACGTCGCAGAACGTTCTAGAATTCGCAAGACATGATATCCATATATAGATACATGGATGAGGTTAGGTTGATGTGTCAAGAATCACGTCTTGTCACGTGCATAATTCAATAAACTGTAAGACCAAATCTCTTGCAAGTCCATGAACGAAAAGAGTCCAAAAGATATAGTTAAGCTCTCGGACATGTCATTGATCAGACACAAGGTGTTTTGTGATAACATTACAAGAGACCGCCATATTTCTTGCACCCGTTTTACCAGCGAACTAGTCGTTCATCACTCACATCAGAAAAGGAACGACTCGGTTGCGTAATGATAGCAAAGCGAACTCGCATTTCTCAAGGCAGGAAGCCTCTTAGTTGTGGAAGCTTGATTGATAATGCCGGAATGCTTTGCGACTTTACCTAAATCCAGTCTTTTTTTTCCTTTCTCTATATATCTATATACCTTTCTGTCTTTATCTCCTCGTCTGTGGCGTCTGGTCCGTGCAAAAGGATCTTTGTGAATTAAAAGTTACCGCATAGCGTCTACGGACCAGAATACTCGCTGCTAACTTTAATGTACATTATAGTATTTTACTATAGTGCCTGTATATTACGCTCAGCAGTGTATATTGCACGTCTATAGAGATTGAGTTTCCCTAAAGTTTCTTCAGTATGACTACTGGCAATCACTGCTTGAGTAAGTTCGTCATGGGACTTGTTTTATTTTTTTCTACGTGCTTTATTTCGTTTCGCATTGACGAATAAAAAATCCACGTACCATCGGCAGTTTGAAATACTTTCAATGGCAGACGATATCCTATACGTGGATGAACGTTGATGTACGTAGAGACGATAATTGGTACTTCTGTCAAACAATTGATACTTCCAAGTCAATCGTACTTGATGAATGCATCGATATATGATTGGAATGTCAATTGACATGGACAAATTGAATTTCCTTGATGGGTTGGGTCACGTGCTGCGACTTACCGATACTTATACCTGTACTGTACTCTATTTATTTTATCGCACGTAACGACCAGAGGAAATGTGCTCACTCTAGGTAATAAGTTTTGACGGGTTTCGTGGGTTCCTTATCACTATAAATTATTTCATGGTTTATACACGTAGTTATAAGAAGTTTCATTTGTCGCCGTACCACGACAAGGTGATAAGGTGACAAGGTGCATTTCCAGTGACACGACGATCTCGTTAGGCTGGAATCTTGAAGGAGACGTTATAAAAGGCAAAGCACTCCTTTGAAATACCTCCTTTCATATACCATAAAAATTTTAGTAAAGGTCCCTTTATCGTTATACAGGGTTACTTACGACAACCGCACCACCTGAAGTTAGCCTCCTGTCCATTTGATTTCTATGGTAGAGCCAACTTCAGGTGGTGCTCTTGTACTTAATAATCCTAGACGTAGTTATATACCTATAATGTTATTCAGGAGTATTGCACCAGCTGAAGTTAGCCCGTCCGTTTGATTTACATGACAGAGCCACCTTCATGTGGTACAATGCTCCTGAATAACCTTGTAAATCCTACCTTATCACCAATTAGCATATTTCATTGGCGTATAGCGATGTATAATAAATCTCGACTCTAGAACAATTTTCTAACCTCTTTTAGGTGATGCAAATTATGGTGGATCGATTGTCTCGCGATCACAAGACGTATACCTGCCAAATGTTAAATTTGCAATTCAGGCCTCGCTGAGTATCGGGAAACAATCGCGAATGAATCTTCGAGTACAGTTCGGGAATTCCTGCAGTCCTTAGGAGAGGAGGACTTTAACTGGGCAATTTTCCTGATCGCGATTTTATGAGTGGGTATATACTTACTACCTGCCAGATAAGGACATGAGATTTATGAAGCGGTTAATCTGTTATCTTGTAAGCTCGTACGTGGTAAGTCTTGCAGTTTAGAGGTGGTAGAACAACGATACGTAGACGAGTAACCCGCTGCTAATTATCGAACAGAGAGGATAGTCGCGGTTAATGCACCGTGCGCTAATTTGATCCCCTAGTAAATTCAGCTACCCTAACCCACGTGTATGTGTATTTTGGCACAGCTTAAAGGGGGTCCATAGCTCACTGGATACTCTTGCAACTTCATTCGGATTAACGTAGGCGCATTCCTGTGCTTCTCGTGTACAGTGTATAGATCGTGAAAATAGTTGACGTGAGCTTGCGTGCATCCCTTAGTCAATAACGTTCCACCCTATACGGTTCATAAAGCCCCACTCGTATTCAAAATCGACCAACCCCAAGGATCGCGTTTCCATTGGCTGGCGTACATAAAAACTGGCCGAAAATATAATGCAAGATTTATGAAGTGTCTGTCCGTCCCAACCCTGCTTATGCATGTTTCAGGAAGACGGGCCTGTTTGCATCAGGCGAAATGTGGATACCATATCCCGAGTACGTGGAGACATAAAGTCACTCGACGCACACGGTATTCGTGTATGTGGTATGTAATAAAGAAGTAGAAGGTGTCACGATGTCCAATGAGATTTCTAGGGATTTCTCGAACGGAACGTGGGAAGCTTCGTGAAAATTCTTAGGACGCCCTGTTACGCGAGGTCGTGTCTGAGCAAGCAAAGAATTCGTGGCTACTACCGCCAGACCAAAGCCAAAGAATTTCCAAACCATTTCCTCCAACGTTCTCCTTCTATGGATAACGTCGAAATCATCGAAACTCACTTATTTCACGCAAAAGATATTCCCCTCCTGTATACAGCGCTATGATTACGAAGAAGAATTTCACTAGGAGGACGACCCATTTCTCGTAAAGGCTTTACGCTTCCGGTATGAAACGGGTGGCATCGTGCTGAAGCGGTTGCCCTATTTTTCTCCTAGCTCTGTTCCTATTCCTTCTATCTTTCTTTTTTTTCTGTTATCTAACCCTCATACACGCCCTCCTATCATACTGACTCTTTCACTGCACGCAGACGCTCGGCGCGTCCACAATGGTGACGAACTGCAATTCCCACTAGAGTCAAATACTGTTTTTCCTTTTTTTGGCCATTTTCTCTTTTTTTTTCTTTTTTCTTCTTTGTTTTCTTTCTACGACGTGGCAAAGCACGAGTACAAAGTACGAGCTACCATCATTCGCCAGGAGTTCGGATCTTTGGCCACCATCCAAAGAAACTTGTTCGATACGCTTGACTTGTGTGAGGAACCAAATCATGTTTACTGACCTCTGTGTGCACATCTGAGTGGCCTCGTACTTAAGGATATCTTGAGCTGCGGAACCCTCATGCATACATTCATTGGTGGTTGGTCCGTGAACGGCTTCCGAAATCGGGATAAGATTCAATTTTTTTTTTTTTTTGAACATACATTTTTCATATGCAGAGTACTTCGACGATTCTCCTTTTTTTATATCTACCAGAAAGTTAAAACGAGTCGATATGATTTATTATCTATATATGTCTAATCGTGTATTTTTTATCAAATTTGAACTGCTTTCATGCTGTTAGAAATTTCTCGTGCTAATCTTACTTGCAATCCTCTCTACAGCGTATATTGACATCTCTGATGCATATGCGTTCGTCATTTTCATCCAGGAATTGTTATTTAGCAACTCCATTTCCGCTAAAGAAACTAGGACACGTGGCAATAAGTAGGTAGCCGCTTTCAATGTTTCCTCCTGACGTATAACGTTTACTCGCGGGACCTTACTGTTACCTGCATTACCCCGCATTAAATATTTTGCCCTTTAGAATGACGTTAAACACTGATTGCAGGATTTGACATATAATCAATGTATATTAAACCAATATATGCGAACAACCATAAGGGGTGCTTACGTTCAGTTTTATCTAATATACATGTCTTTGATAAAGATTTGCGAGTATTTTATATAATGGGGATGCAAATAGCATTTATAAAAATAAACAAAGTTTTTGTTTACGTGAATTCACCTTGTGCAAAGTGTTTAATTAAACACGTGTAAATTGATGATTAATGTAGTACAATGCATTTTCGAAATTTTTATTTGGTTCGATTATCATTGAAATTGTTACAAGGAAAACAAGGGATGATCGATGCCTCGGTGGGTTTGAGGTGGCACAGCGTAGCTACTGTCGTATAACAAACAACGGTAAACCACCAACGAAAACATGAAAACACGAAAAATACTATGAGGAACGGCAGTCGCTGAGTCTTTAATCTCGCGATATTTTCTACGAGAATGAACTTCAGTTTCTGAGAATACAGTACTGAACGAAAATGAAAAAAGTGGGGTGCACTGTTTTTTAATAGTGTTACTATTTCATTAATTGAAAAGAGACGATTTTATTTAGCTACGATGTACTGATAGACTTTCAAGATTAATTACGACTTAGAAATTGCGTTCTCTCGTGAAAATAGTACCTACTGTCATGTACAATATCACCACATTGTAGCTAATGTTTTTTTATCAAAAAATAAGAATATGGTATGGCATATGGAACTGTTTGATTAATACTGCTATAAAATAAAGGGAGACAGAGAGAGAGAGAGAGAGAGAGAGATCAATTAATTTATTCAATCTGGAGCATTCTTCATAAATTTATAGACAATTAAAATAATCGTAATCATAATAAAAAGTCAACTACCAAAATAAAGTAGCAGTAAAATAATATAGTGATGACAATCAATATAAATCAAAATATATGGGATAATAACAGCAGAGCGTACCCACTATATGACATTTGTTATTCATTAGTGATACCAACATATCATATGACGACACCATAGGAAAGTGTATATTCACCCTCGCAAAACTTTAA